TGGGCAAGGGGAGACAGGATGGGGACAAGAAGAAAAGGAGCAGGAGGCAGGACAGGACCAGGCGGAGCCTGTCTAAAGGTCTGCATCAAGGACTTGGGACGCATCTCACAGTTGCTGGTCCTGCTGGTTTCTCTGGAAGACATCACGAAGGGGCTTCAAGGCTTCCGGGGAGAAGAGATAAATGCCACAATTGATGATGTCACTCACAAATGTGCTTGGTTTCTCCACATAGTGCAAAACCTGAAGGTGGTGAGAAGAAATGGGGAGGGGAGGAAGGGTTGGAAAGGGATGATGACCGCTGCTCACAAGATTTATGGGGAGTCCTTGAGGCTCAGAACCAAGGGCTTCACTTTAGGACAAATGGTGAGAAGGGACTGACTGCCAAGCTCCCCTAAGGGTCCCTGACCTTGGTGATGCTACTGGGATTCAGGTTGGAGCAGAGCTCCCCCTGGGGGAGTCACTGAGATTAGCAGCAAAAGCTAGGGAAAGAAATCAAAGCCAGAAGAAAATCACTTCCTCCCCTCCAAAAAAAAAAAAAAGAATCACTTTCCCAAGCACCCACAGATGGAATTGGTTAAGGGAGCACCCTAAGAGAACAACATGCAACCCAAATCCCCTAAGGGTAGGGACACAGAAAAGTCTAGAACTCCATCAGCCTAGAAGACAGGAGCCAGGCTTCCACCTCCCTCTCCATCTTTGCCTCTCCTTACCTCGTGCGTTTCTGGATTTTCCACAATGCAACCATAGTTGAGGGACTGAGTCCGATTTGCCTGACAGACAAAGATGCATGAGCAAGTCGGGAGGAGAGCCTTGACTCTTTGTCTTCCATCCCTTACAGCCACGGCACTTCCACAAGAAGCAACCGCCCAATAAAGGGTGCTGCTTAACCATGGCCTTCCCTATACCTCACTCTGAAGGAAGAGCAACAGGAGGGAGTCCAGGGGACCAGTGGCTTCTCAAGTTACTTTCCTGGATTAGCTTCTCTTCAATTCCTTATGCTGTCTTAGGTAAGGTGAAGCTCCTCCCCTCCTCCCCATCACTACTGACCCCTGGGATCCCCTCTGAATCGTTTCCCAGCCCTTCCATCTCTCTCACCGTGGTGCCAAGGAGCAAGAAAGGACGGGGCTGGCGTCTGTGGGCTTCTAGCATAGCGCCCAGTGGGAAGTCAGAGCAGACATCGGCATTGAGAACGAAGAAGGCTTCAGGACCCCCTGCCAGGATCTGGTCTCGGAAATGATAGAGGCCACCCCCTGTACCCAGGGGGGCAAATTCCTGCAGGTACCTGAAGCCCAGATCGGACCCCCCCCAGATGAGGTCTAATGAGAATCACTCACTCCCTTGGGCCTGAGCCCCTGATCCATCTTATTCCCAGGGACATCTCCACTCAAACCACCCCCTCCTGCTCAGACTTTGGAAATCCAATGGAATGAAAAATTCCAACAGAGCCTCTTTTCTTCAGGTTGATAAACAGAGATATCTAAGTGAACCCAACGTGGAGGACACTGAGGCAGAATCTCCACTCCCCTCCCTTGCACGCACACACACCTGATAGGAAGGTTGAACTCCTGCTGAGCAGCATCCAAGAAACGGGTCAGTGCTTCATCGGGTTGGTAGAAACCAATGAGGAGAATTTCCTGCATCCCAGGAACCTTTCAAGGCATATGGGGAGAAGGTTAGGAAGAGAAATATTTAGGGTTACAGAAAAAGGCAGGACCGAGAAGGAAGCTATGGATGGAAAAAAGGAAACAAGCATTTATTAAATGCCTACGGTATGCCAGGCACTGTGTCAAGCACTTTGCAAATATTGTCACTGGATTCTCACAACCCTTCGATGTAGGTGCTGTTATTATCTCCATTTTACAGCCGAGGAAACTGAGGCAGAGGTAAAGTGACTTGACCAGAGTCACACCACTAGCATCCTGAAGTCATATTTGAACTCAGGTCTTCTTGACTCTAGACTCCGCACCAGATGAGCAAGATTCTTGGACTCTTAGAGAAAGGTGAAGGGAAGGATCCACTCAAGCATATGGGGAGTTCCTGGAAAGAGCATTCTTTGGGGTATGGGGGTCTCTACTGCTTTGGGGGGGTTACCTGGGCACAGGCTTCTATGTGATGCTGGATCATGGGGACTCCCGCCACAGGAAAAAGTGGTTTGGGCACTTCAAAAGACAAAGGCCGGAATCTTGTCCCTGGGGTGAGAGTAAAGGGCAAAGGCCTTAGGTTCCTCCCTCTCTCAGCCTCCGGCCCACCAGGATACCCAGCCACCCTCCCACGGTAGAAAGATGGTGGAAGGCTACAAGTAGCCCAGACTGTTGGTGGTGGAGAAGTCAGGGCATCACCAACGGTGAGGGCACAGAGAGGAGCCAAGAGGAAACCCAGGACAGACTGCACCCCCAGGGGCCTCACCCTTCTGGGGACCTCCGATCAGGATCACCGCTTTCAGCATGATGAAGGTAACCTCCTAATCCCTAAAAACCCCAAGCAGACCCTGTTCACACTCCAAAGGTTCCCGGGTCTCTGTCTTCCAGACCCTGAACCCCCAAGTCCTCAAAGTGATCACACTACAGACCCCCAACTTCATTACCCTGAGTCCGAACCCAGACCCATTCAGATGCTGAGCCCCAAACCTAGGACTCTGGACCTCAACACTGTTCCGCTAGACGTCCTAATTCCTTTAGAGTTCAAAACCCTAAATCCACCGAACCCCCAAAAAGACTCCTGTCAGACACGAGGCGTTGAACCCTAGTGAACGCTTTCAGAATGTGAACCCCAACCTCTACAGAACTTGAGCCCCAACACTGACCCCAAACCCTGACCAACCTCTTCAAATTCTGACCCCCCCCATCTCTATGGAGGCTGAGCATGACCCTTGGAGCAGACTCTGAACCCTGACTTCTTCAAATACAACTCCCCAACCGGTATAGACCGTGAACCCCAACAATGACCTTTTCAAATTGAGGGGACCCCCCAAACTCCACAGACCCTGAACCTGAAACTGACCCCTCCACAGATCCGGAACTGAATGACCCCTTCAAATTCCCAACCTCTCCCTAAAGAACCCCGACACGGACCCCTGCCCAGGCTGCTGTCCCCCAGTTCCGCATCCCACACTCCACCTACGCTGACACCCCGCCCCGCGCCGGTGGGTGCGCGCGGAGGGGGGTGTGCACGCGCACGCTCACGCGGGCGGGGGAGCAGCCCGACGCCGGAGTCCCTACTGCCCCTCACATCAATTTGTCGCACTGGGATTCCTCGACGGTTCCAAGATCCTTCCGCACACGTGTCCTCTCGGTCTTCGCGATAACTTCTCCAGAGAGCATGCCGGGAGTTGTAGTTTTCCTTCCTTCCCCACAGGGCGTTACAGACAGGCGGCCTCGGAAGGGGCCTCAATAGTTAGGGGGCGGGGAGAGAATCCGAAGGAGGGCAGGGCCTCACTATTGGGGGCTGAAAATGTGAAAAGCAATTTGTAGATTTGGAGCCGTCAAGCACCTCCTAGATAATCTAGTCATAGATTAACCTCTTAAATAAAAGGGGGGGGGAGGGGGAATGAACAGACTGAAGCCCAGAGAGGGAATGTTACTTTCCCAAGATCACAAAGCTAATCAGGTCCCCTGACACGCAGCCCAGGGCTCTTTCGGCCATCCCACCATGTCTCCCTCCAGGGTGCGAGGCGTAGCGGGGATGCGGGCTCACAGAGTAGGTTCCACGCAAGCAGATAAAGGCTAGAAAAAGCCCACCCAGATCGTGTGGGGTGAACGAAGGGTGGCCTGACACGAGTTAATGGAAGAGGAGGAGGAGCGAGAGGAAGAGGAGCGAGAGGAAGAGGAGAGAGAGGAAGAGGAAAAGAAGGCGAGGAGGGGGAGGAGGAGTGGGATGAGGAGGAGTAGGGGGAAGAAGAGGAGAGGGAGGAAGAGGGAAAAGAGGAGGGGAGAGGAAGGAGGAGTGGGATGAAAAGGAGTAGGGGGAGGAGAAGGAGGGAGGAGGAAGAGGAGAGGGAGGAAGAGGGAAAGAAAAAAGGGAGGAGGGGAGAAAGAGGAGGAGGGGGAAGAGGAGTGAGGGGAGGAAGAGGAGGAGAGGAGGGGGAGAAGAGGAGGGGGGAGGAGGAGGGGAGAGGAGGAGAGGAGAGGAGAGAAGAAGGAGAGGGAAGAAGAGAAAAAGGAAAAGGGGAGGAGGGGGAGAAAGAGGAGGAGGAAGAGGAGTGTGGAGAGGAGGAGGAGGCAGGAGGAAAGGGGAAGAATGGGAAGAAGAGGAACAAGGGGAGAGAGAGGAGGAAGAGAGGGGGAAGGAGGAAGAAGAGGCTAGACCTGAGGCTTTCATTTGGTGATGGAGAGTGATAGAATTGGAGGAACCTTAAACTCGATTCTATTCCAAGGTTTTATACGATCATAGATTAGAGCTAGAAAAGACCCTAGAAATCAATTCCCCCCTCATTTTGCAGGCGAGGAAACTGAGGCACAAAGAAATCAGTTAACCTGTTTTGTCTCCTTTTATAGGTAGTAAATGCTTCTTTACTGAAGATGAAGAAACTTTGGTTCGGAGATAATAGCTACTATTTGTATAGCTGTATGGTTTGCATATTTTGTTATTTCATTTTTACATGCTATTTCATTTGATCCTCATAACTTTAAGAAGTAGGTGCTATTATTATTCCCACTTTACAGATGGAGAAACTGAGGTTTAGAGAGGTTAGTGTGACTTGCCTAGGATCACACAGCAGGATACAAACTTGACAAGCCTACCACTCTATCCTCTGCACCACTAATTGCTTCACTAAATGACTTTCCCAGGTAACACAGCAATGTCCCCTGAAGCTACTGTCCAGTGTTCTTTCCACTACACCAGGTAGCTGCCTAAATGAATACTAAGATCCCTTCCAGCTCTGACATTCTGTGACCTTCACTAGTATGATATACGGAGGCGGAGGAGCTAGGTCTGGCTTGGGAAATGGGACTCCCCTTTCCCCCCCCCCAGCTCCCCGTAGGAAGATGACATAGGGAACGTCAGAGTGACCATAACTTTACTATCCGCAGGCCGAGAAATAAAGGATGCTGTGATAGCCCTGACACCGGGGGCGCGGATGAAAGGTCCGAAGATTCCCCTCAGGCTACATCCAAGCTGGCGAAACTCTGGTCCATCCCCAGGCTGTTCTCCACGTAGACCTCATACTTGCCGCTGTCCTCAGCGGTGGCCCGGCGGATGGTCAGCGTAGTGTTAGTGTTGCCGATGTCTTAGTACGCCCTGGAAGAGAGCAGGTGAGAGGATATCTGTTCTGGCCGTGCCCCAGGTGACCTCCCCCAACCCCTACCCGAGGCCCCACCCAGAGCTCCATCCTCTGCCCAGAGCCCTGTCTCTCGCCTGTCATCCTCATCAATGTCCAGCCCGTCCTTGGTCCATCCTGCGTCAGGAGGTGGCTCGCCTAGGATTTCTGCGGTCAGCGTCACCGTGGTTCCTTTGCGCGCCTTGGTGTTGTCTGGTCCCTTCTTGATCTTCGCTGGGACTGTAGGGTATGTAAGAAGGAAACCGATAAGGGGACAAAGAGATGAAGTTTTTCCCTCTCCGCTTCCTCTCCCGGAACGTGCCCATCATGGGATTTGGAGCTGAAAAGGACCTTATAGTCCAATCTTTGTTCAAACCCCAGCCGTGTCACTTGATAACTGTGTGACCCTGGGCAAGTCACTCAACCTCTGAGCCTCAAAGGTTCTCATCTGTAAAAATGAGTATGCTAATACTTGCACCACATAATTCACTGGGCACTCTTTAAAATCTTCAAGAGCTCGAAAAATATGTATTATGTATCTACAGATGAAGACAATGTGGTGCGGAAAGTTAGCACACATCCTCAGTCCCTGTGGGGGAACGTGAAGTCAGGAAACTTCTTGTGACCTTGGGTAAGCTGTTTTAATGACCTTTGTAACACTACCTGCCCCACCCACCTTCCAGGCTGGTGGTGAAGATCGCTGTGGTATGCAGGGGAAACGGGTGTGTTAAGGAAAAGCCCGAAATGCCCAACAAACTCCAAGTGCAGGTGGACGTGACTAGGGACCTAGAAGGTCGTACCTTCCACGAGTATCCGCGCGGAGTCCGAGCACTCGCCGAAGCGATTGGACACTTTAATGCTGTACTGGCCCAGATCAGCTAGTTCTGCGTCGCGCACCACCAGCGCCACCACGCCGGGGTCCTCGATGACGTAGCGGTACTTGCATCACGGAGCTCCTTGCGGTCTTTGCTCCAGCGGATAAAAGGGTCAGGAAAAGCTGAGATCCGACAGGAGAGTTTCGCTGCACTTCCCTCAATCAGCACGACATCTTGCAGTGGCTGCAGCACGCGTGCTGGCCCCTTCTCTTTCAACTCTTTCCGGGACCTGTTCAGATCAACGTCAGTCTCGATCCCGTCCCTTTCTGCGCAACTTCCAGACCAATTCTCCCCCCAAAACAGACGGATCACCAGGCGGGTTACTCTTCCAGTCTTTCCTCAAACTATTGACCCCCATACGCTAATTAAAAACCTTTTTTTCATTTGACCTCTGGGTCATAGCCTATGTCCTCAGTAGGACGCCTCCTGACCCAGATCAAACACACTCTCCTGACCACCCCACCCCGCCTCTGTCTCTCTCTGTCTCTCTCTCTCTCCCTCCCTCCCTCTCTCCCTCCCTCCCTCTCTCCCTCCCTCCCTCCTAGCTTTCTCAGAGATGTCCTACTGATCCTTGGAACGTCCTAGGTCACTCAGGACCGACCCCAAGACATTCCCACCCCCTCACCTGTGGCCCCGGTAAGAGGCCTGGATGCGTATGGCAGCGCTCTGCACCTGGGGGTCATTGATGTCCAGGGTGCAGCCTGGAGGTGGGGCCGCCGGCTTCTTGGCCGGAGCTGCTTTGGACATCTGGGGGAGCAGATGGTAATCATGGAATTCAAGGCCTAGACAGAAACCCTTCCCCAAATACCCAGCCATTCCCTTCCAGAGCAGAAACTGAATGGGACACTGGGGGGTCCGAACTCACCACGGAGCTGGGGGCAAAGGGACCGATAGAAAGGGCTTGAGTCGAAGGGCTAGGTTAGCGCTCCGCGCGGAGTCCCCAGGACAGCACAGGACTGGACGGGGAGGGCAGGTGGCCCCGCGCCCCTGGCTTTATATACATCTTCCCTCCTCGCCTTCTTTGGCATGGTAGCCCCTGGTCCCTCCGGGACCCCAGTCTTCGCCTACCCAACCCGAGCTGGATCCTTATTATGCCCGAGGACTCCAGGGATGCTGGCTCAGCCGTCGCTGCTAACCCGTGGGGGGAAACCCGAGTGCCACTGGGACCCTCATAGCGTCAGCTACCCGACAGCTGGACAGCTAGACACCGCCCCGCCTCCTTTCCCCCACCCCCAATGGCAGAACACTTGGGGAAGATAAACGCAGAAAGTGCAATTCTCTGAGTGAAGTTCGAGTATACCCACTCGACCAATAGCAAGAGATTAACAGGGCCACTGTGACCAATCAGACAGAGCCCTCGGTGCCCAGACCTGAGCCTGTCTGAACTTTCTGCCTAGGAGCTTCCAGTTCTGCTCTCCCCCACCCCCCAGTACCAACCAATGGGCTGCTGGGAGGACTCGGAGAATGGTGGAGGAGGTCCGGCCCCCACCCTCCTCCTAACACACACACACTTTTCTGTACTGTTTTCAGAGTATTGGGTAAGTCTGGATCAGATGGTTTCTTGAGGATAATAGGTGTAGCCAGCTACCTGCTCCCAGATCCATTCCCCACCTCCTTCAGAGAAGCAATGTGCTGTAATGGAAATATCACTGGATTTTGGAATCAGAGAACTTGGGCTGTTTCTTCAGCTGTAAAATGAAAAAAGTTAGACTAGGTAACCTTAAAGGCACCTTCCATCTCTACATGCATTATTCTGTGAACCTATGATATTTCGTCAACTGATGACCTGGGTGACCTTGAGCAGCTCATTTGCTAGGTGTGCAAGGGATAGTGCTGGGCCTGCAGTCAGGAAGACCTGGAACTTGAATGTGGCCTCACGCACCAACATAGCTGTGTAACCCTGGACAAGTCTCTGCCTTGGTTTCCTCAGCTGTAAAAACACTTACCTCACAGGGTTGTTGTGAGGATCAAATGAGACATTTGCAAAAAGCTTGGCACATAGTAAGTGAATTTTTTTCCCTTCCCCTTTATTTCTTTGGGCCACAGCTTCCTACTAGTTTTGGCCTTGTAGTATTAGATTTCTTGGCCGTGTGACCTTGAGCAGATCATTTAACCTTTTTGAGCATCAGTTACCTCATCTGGAAAATGGGTGGTTGTGAAGAAAATCCTATATAAATGTGAGTCATAATTAGACATAAGCTCATCCTTTGGTCTTGGTCTGACTAAATAACGAGAACAGTCAGGATGTCTGGGGAAAACAAACAAAAGCCACCTGAGAGACTAAGTCTGAGCGTGGCGTGGAGAGGCAGAATGTTATGGTGGAAAGAAGACTGAATTTGGGGTCAAAGAACTCAGTTTCAAATCCTGTATGAACCTGGGAAAGTGATTTCCTAATCTCTAAAATGAGAGTGTTATATATCAAATCGCATAGGAAATGGGGAAGAAAGAGAGAGATTTTGGAACTCAAATTTTAAAAAAAGAATGTTAAAAATTGTTTTTACATGTAATTGGGGAAAAAATAAAATATTACTAAAAAAAAAAAAGAAAAAGAGAGGGTTAGACAAATGGATATCTATGTTCTCTTTCAGCCCTAAATCTCTGATGACCTTTGTGACCTAGGGCTGGAAGGGACCTCAGAGGCATCTAGTCCAATCCCTTCATTTTATAGGTGAAGAAACTGAGGCCCAGCAAAATGAATTGATTTGTCCAAGTTCACATAAGTAGAAATTACTAGAACTGGGATTTGAACCCAGGTCCTCTGACTCTATAGCTCTTTCTGTTCGACTATGCAGCGGAAGAGTCTTTCCTCTCTATTCAGAGAGGGAAAAATTAAATCCCTTCCTTAATCTAAAATGCTAATAGTTTATAATTCTCTTCACCAGAGTCCAAAGAAGGGTTTGTCTGAGCTGGGGCAGAAAGCCTGGGAACTCTTCTGGGGGAGCAGCTGGATTCTAGTGACAGGAAAGAAAATTGCCAATTAATGCTTCTTCCAAGTCATGAGTCTCTTAATGGTCATTGAACCCATTTCCATTCAGGTGATGGTTTTTGTTTTTGTTTTTGTTTTTCTCCTTTACCCAAGGCAGAATCATCAAGGCTGAAGGAGAAGCAGAGGTAGGAGAGGAGGGTGTTACTGCATCAGTTACTGCTGTTACACTACTCAGCCCAAACCCCAAACTCTAGGGCACTTCCAGGTTGGAACCATCAGTGTTACAGTCCAGCTCTGGACGACCAAGGTAGGAGCCAGAAAGCTCTTGATAGGTTAGAGAATGAGATGAAATTAATAGAAGTAAATGTAGAGCTTCTGAGCTCATTTAAAAATGTATACATATAATATATAAACTATACATTATATCATTACACAATATAATATTACATATTATATAATAAAATTATATACAATATATTTATATATTACAATCATGTATTCTATGTAATGTATGTGTATATATACTGCAAGTTCAATATAAGCCAATGATGGGATGTGCCAGGCAAAAGCTAATGCCTTCTATTTTTTTTTGAATTTTCTTTTTTGTGTATATAATTTATTTATTTATTTTAACATTCACTTCCATAAGGTTTTGAGTTTTAAATTTTCTCCCGTTCCCTCTCCTCCCCCCTCCCCAAGACAGCATGCAATTTGACATGGGCTCTACTTATACATTTATATTAAACATATTTTCACATTAGTCTGTAAAGAAGAATTAGAGCTAATGGGAGGAACCACAAGAAAGAAGAAACAAAACAAAACAACAAAAGAAAAGGAGAGCAAATAGTATGCTTCCATATGCATTCAGACTCCAAAGTTCTTTGTCTGGATGTGGACAGCATTTTCCATCGTGAGTCTTTGGGAGATGTCTTAGGTCCTTGCATTGCTGAGAAGAGCTAAGTCTATCAAAGTCAGTCCTTGAACAATGTGGCTGTTGCTATGTACAATGTTCTCCTGGAAGCTAATGCCTTCTAGATTGCATTGAGAAAAATAGTCCAAAATAGGGGAGGTCATATCCCTGGTCAGATCATCTCTGGAGTACTGTGTTCAATGCTTGCTGCTACACTTTAGACAAGTCGAGGCACATCCAGAAGTCAACCAGGATGGTGAAAGTTCTGGAGAAAATGCTTTATCAGTATCATCTAACGGAACCAAGGATGTTTCAATTGGAGATGTCTTAGAGGGGCCACAATGACTCTCTTTAAGATTTTGAAGGAATAAGATTGCATCTGCTTGCCCCCCAGAGAGGGCAACTAGGTGTGGAAATGGCAGAGAATTGAAAATTTAGATTTGATATAAGGAAGTGTCTCCAAACAATTAAAAATGAAATGGACTGCTGGGTTCCCTCTCACCAGAAGCCTTTAGTTAGTGGCTGGCTTGCTAAGGATGCTTTAGAGGGTATTCTTGGTCAGGCAAAGGGCTTCCATAAATCTCTGGAATGTGCTACATCTCCTTATCTGTAAAACAGCCTCTGGGATCCCTTCCCATGGACAGAATCAAAATGCCCTCCTGAGCAGCAGCTCAGAATAGCCAGGTCTGGGGTGTAGAAAGGGATGGGAGCACAGAACTGATCCCTCCACGTATCTCGTAGTTATTCAGGACCCATATAAACCTTTGGCTCAGCCCTGCCAGATTTCATGGGATCCTGCAGGTCTAACAGGTTGATTCAGTTATTTCAAAAAGAAGAAAAAAACTGCAGCATGCTGACTTGTGGTTAAAGGAAGAATTATCCCAAGTTTCCCACGGACCCAGGTAAATGGTCCTTGATTTAGCCCTATCACCAAAGATACACCTTTCAGCTCTGGTGTACGTTTCCAGCAGATTGATTTTCTTTTTTTTTTTCCTTTTGACTAGGTAAGAGGCCATCCTTTGCCTCATTTCTTACCTAGCCTTAATCACTGAATGGGCATTGCCTCAGTCAAACTGGGACCTGAGAAAGACTTTACCAAAGGCCAAAGCCTCCCACCACATCCTGGGCCACTGCAGTTGTCTTGATCCATATCTGGCCACTAGACCCAGATGGCTCCGGAGGAGAAAGTGAGGCTGGTGACTTTGCACAGCTCTCCCTCACTCAAATCCAATTCACTTGCATGCCATGGCATCACCTCCTTGATGTCATGGTCCTCTTTGAGAACAAAGGCCAAACAAACAACATTCCCAGCAACAGGGTGCAGCTGCTGCTGGTCAGGTGCCTGCTTGTAGGTGTTCTCATGCACCAGTCATGTGTATCCACCTTGTTCTACCTTTTTCTTTGGTGTCTTATACAGTCCCTAATATAGAGCTCCACATGGGAACAATGTTTAAGAAATCAGCTGGGAAACAAGATGGCGTGGTCAAAAGAGCCCTGGTCTGCATCTGAGTCTTGGCTTAGATGGTTTCTGGCTGTGTGATCCATGGCAAATGACTTAACCTTTCTAAGACCTAGTTTTTTAGCCCCTCAGCCTCAATAAAACTTTTCCTAATCCAGAGAGGTTTTATGCTGTCCTCAGGGCTCCCATTATCCATGGGAATGTGAGGTAATGCTGCATGCTTGGCTGCTGCTGGTGAAATCTTGTTCTCCCTTGCCTCTGTCCTTCCCACATTACCCCAGTGCCTCCATAGGCCCTTGGAATGTCCTAGGTTTTCTCATCTGTAAAATGGGCATTTATTTGTATTCGCCATCTCACAGGGTGATTTTAAGGCATTTGGTCTGTAGACTATCAAGAATTATGCAAAAGCAAACTCAAAATATTGATTAGTTTACAGTGATAAACAGGGTTAGGATCTGGACCTGGCTCTGCTGAAGAGGTGAGGAAGGGAGGGAGGAAGGGAGGGAGGGAGGAAGGAAGGAAGGGAGGAAGGGAGGAAGGAAGGGAGGGAGGAAGGAAGGGAGGAAGGGAGGGAGGGAGGGAGGAAGGGAGAAGGAAGGAAGGAAGGAAGGAAGGAAGGAAGGAAGGAAGGAAGGAAGGAAGGAAGGAAGGAAGGAAGGAAGGAAGGGAGGGAGGGAGGGAGGGAGGGAGGGAGGAGGAGGAAAGGAGGAGGGAGGGGAGGGAGGGAGGGAGGAAGGAAGGAAGGAAGGAAGGAAGGAAGGGAGGGAGGGAGAGGGAGAGAGAGAGAGAGAGTGAGAAAGAAAGAAAGAAAGAAAGAAAGAAAGAAAGAAAGAAAGAAAGAAAGAAAGAAGAAAGAAGAAAGAAAGAAAGACAAACAAAGGAAGGAAGGAGGGAAGGAAGGAAGGAAGGAAGGAAGGAAGGAAGGAAGGAAGGAAGGAAACAAATATTTATTGAGTGCCTACTGTGTGCCAGGCACTGCACCAAGTGCTTTACACATATTATGTCTTTTATTCTCAGGGTTGAGAATAGAATTTGGCAAGGAAGTGAAGACTGAGAGGAGGTAGGGTATCCATTCATCAGAGCTATATGGAGGTTAGATTGGGCTGAGCAAAATAGTTCCAGTACCCATTCCCCTAGTTTCCTGCCTACTACAAAGTTCTGCTTGGCTACTATCCCAGTGTGGCTTCTTGGTGATTAGGGGACAGCTCACTTCTTGGGGTCTCACTTAGTGAGGAATGTTATACCTAAAGCACCTAACCCAGGGACTGTATTATTTATTAGGACCAAACCAATCTAGAGACTAGTAAAGGAGAGGAGAGGATTGACTAGAGATGGTGGGGACTGGGGAAAGGAAGGCAGGAGTCCCAAACAGGAAGGAAAACAGAGATGGGGGAAAGGAAGCATGAAGAGTCAATGGCAGGGTCTGAATAGTATAATAGGGCAGTCATTTGGAGAGGAGAGGACTTCCCAGATGGATTTGGGGAATAGGGGAAGGGAATAAGCATTTATATAGTACCTACTGTGTGCCAGGCACCATGCTAAGCACCTAACAATATCTCATTTGATCCTTACAACAACACTCTGAGGTAGGTGCTATTATTATCCTCATTTAACAGGTGAGGAAACTGAAGCAGAGGTTAAATGACCTGCCCAGGGTCACACAGCTAATAAGTGTCTGAGGTAAAATTTGAACTCAGGTCTTTTTGACTCCAGGCCCAGTGCTCTGTGCATTATGGCATCTCCTAGCTGCCTTAAGTGGTCTGGCCTATGCTTTTGTGTCATGGAATGATTTGGCAGTCTGGTAAAACCTATAAACCCCTTCTCCAAATAGTGTTTAATTGTGTAAAATATATAGGATTACAAAGGAAACCAAAGGTTAGTGAAAACACATGGTCATTTATACCTATCCAAATTCATAGACCTTTTGAAATCTATCCATGGACCCATCCGTGGACCCCAGGTAAAGAACCCAGCTCCACAGGAAGCAAAAGAGAGCCCTATTTCCCTCCCTTCTCACCTCCCCGCAACCCCCCACCCCACCCCAGGAAAGTCCCCGGACAGAACACAAGGGTCTCCCTGGCACCTGTTGTTTTTATTGGCCCTGGGACAGACAGACAGATGGAGGCTGGAGAGACAGGCAGGGCACAGGGCAGCCCTGGAGATAGGGGTCGGGCGAAGGATGGAGAGAGGAAGGGGAAGCTTCACAAAAATCAATAAATAAATAAATATGAGGGCGGTGAGGGCAAAGGCTTTGAGGATTTGGGGGAGGGAGGAGGAAGGTGGTGGGACCACTTCAGGCCCAGTGCAAGAAGCCTTGGGCCACAAGCTGAGAGGACAGGGGCAAGGAAGGATGGCCTCTCTAGCCTCTTCTCTCCCTGATTCTCAAACTCCAGGCAATCCTGTTCTTGAACCTCTTTGTCTTAAGAAGTACAGTCTCACTGGGTCTGAAGCCCAGTTCCCCCCATCCCACACCCACAGACTGAACACCTCCTCCCCGATTTCCTAGGCATCATCTCTCGCCCGCCTGACTGGCCTCCTGATGTACTATCCCTCTGTCTCTTGCTCCTACCCTTTCTGGTTCTCCAATCCCTTCACTGATCACTCCCATCCCATCGGCCTCGTGATGCTGGCTGTCTTATTTCCTATTCCTGCACTTTCTTCTCTTCAGTGATGGTGCTTATACCCACCCTACTCATCATTCCCCTCGATCTCTCCCCCAAAGGCTCCCTCCACGCCCTCCCTTTTATTATTTCTCTTTCTCTCTGCCCCCTTCCACCCATCACCCCAGTCTTCTGACTCTTTATTCCCTCTTTCCTTTATTCCCTCATCTCCCCCAGCCTTCAGTCCTTCAGCCTGGTTGAAGCTTGTTGTACCCCAGGTGGGGCTTATGCTATCCCTGGGGCTCCTGTTGCCCATGGGTCCATGAGGTAATGCCACCTGGTTGGCTGTTGCTGGTGGTATCCGGTCCCCTTTGGCCTCTCTGCCTTCCCCCACCCTACCCCAGTGCTGCCATAAGCCCCTGGAATGTCCCGTGTACAAGGGCGGGGGAGTCCAGGAGCTGGATTTCAGGGATCCCAGAGTGCAGAGTTCAGGAGGCTGGGGGGGGGGGTCTGAGGTCCAGGAGGCCAGGGATCTGGGGTCCAGAAGGCTAAGGGCTGCCAGGGTAGGAGCGTAGCAGCACCTTATGGCGGGTGGCAGTCTCTGCCCGTCGGCGTTTCTGTTCCCCCAGGAACTCCTTCAGCCTATTGGTGGTAAAAGTCAACGTCTGGCGCCGAAGCTTCATCAGGTAGGCGTCCTGAAGCCAGGGGTGTGCCAAGCAGTCCTGCGGTGAAGGCCGGCTCCTAGAAATCAAGGATGAGGCGGATCAGGATGAGCTAGGAGAGAGTCTGCAGAAGCTAGGAGAATTCATTCAAGGCAGGAGGCTGGGAACTAGAAAAGGCAGGGAACGAGAAAGGAGGCAGCCTCATCACTCACCAGGGGTGGACAGAAAGGACCTTGCGCAAAAAGAGGGCAGCACTCTGGGAGGTATTGGGGTACAGCAGGAAGGCATCAAAGCGGCCCCCAACAATCCGGGCCTCTGTCTCCCGGGGATCTGGCTCATAAAATGGGGAGCGTCCACTGAGCCTGAAGAAAGACACAGCAAAAAGGTCAGTATTGAGGGAGGACAGAAATTGGGAGCTGAAAGAGCAATTCGAACTGCGTTGTATATGGGAGTGCATACCACTGCCACCCTGACCCCCGAGGCAAGATATTGGAAGAATTCTGGAGAAGGAGCTGCCAGGAGATAATGAAATGGGAAACCTATCCCAGAGAACAGACAGACAGAGGAAAAGATCAGAGTCTGGTTGTTGGAAGGGACCTTAGAGTCCATCAAATCCTATCCTCCTATTTTCCAGATGAGGAAACTGAGACTCAGCATTGTTGACTTGCCCAAGAGTCACACAAGGAAGATGGTGTCTGAAGGGGGATTTAAACCCAGAGCTTCCTGACTCCAAGCCTACGACTCTATCTACTCTACCACCCTACCTCTCATATCAGGTCCAGAGAGGTGGATTTTGACGTGAGAGCAGAATATACCTAGGTGGAGGGAAGTGGGGTAGTCCCAAGGGCAAGAGCTTAGGGAGCATGAATGGATTCGTCAGGATAGGGATCACTTACATGATGTAGGTGAGTACACCAGCACCCCAGATGTCTGTAGCAGAGCCAATGGGCTCACCTTTCACCATCTCAGGAGCTGGCAAGAGACAGAGACAGAGCTGACCCAGCTACCTGTCAGTGGCGTCTTTGCTGGGCATGGGGTTCCCTGATGGAGCCAGGGAGTAGCTGTGAGAGGCCCAAGCCCCCACCCACCATGTCACTCAAAACAATTACAATTGTAAGGGGCCTCTACCACTTGAAGAATAAAGTCCAGACTTGGAGGCTGGCATTCAAGACCCTTTTCAACCAAATTCCAACCTACCTTTCCTTCCTCTGCCCTTTCACTGCTAAATATCTAGATAGGGTAACTTCCTCTTGATAGCCCTCCTTCACCTTCCACTCACTCCTTAACTCCTGGCGATCTAGCTTCCTTTCTGTTTCCCCCACTGACATTTCTCCCGTCGAGGTCATCAATGACCATCTTACTGCCAAACCCAGTGGCCTCTTTCCAGTCCTCACCCTCCTTGAAATCTCTGCAGCACTGGACACCCTTAACATCCTTCTTCTGGGTACTTTCCCCTCCCTTTGCTTTTGTGCCATCGTACTCAGCACTGACTGTCTGACCATTCCTTCACCATAGTCTTTGCCATCTCTGCTTTTTCCTGATCCCTCACTGTGTGCATCCCTCTTATCTCCAAGCCACTTTCCAGTCCTATGTCACAATAATTCTCCTTCCTGTGCTTAGCACAGTGCCTGGCACATAGTAAGCCCTTAATAAAATCTTGTTTCCTCCCTTCCTATACCCTATATTTGGGGGAAAACTAGACAGCCCATTCTCCAAACACTTCTCTCAGTTTCTAGAGAGCGCCTTTACTTGAACCATTGTCAGCACGGAGTGTGTTATTTCCCCATTTTTCAAGTGTTGAGGGAAAAGCAGTGACCTCTTCTCCTTCCTCTGAAACCTCAGAGTGAAGCATCTCTAATCCTCTGTTCTTCTCACCCTCCACTCCTCTAGTATAGTTAGGATTACATGTCTTCTCTGCCTACTTGACTTGAAGACTAGAACTTTGTTTATTCATCTTTGTACCCCTGAAGCACCTTACACAATACCTTGCATATAGCAGGCACTTAACAAACATTTGCTGAATGTAATTTGCCAAATGAAGGAATGAGAGGATCAAGGGCCATAGACATAGGTAGGCCAATGGGTGCCTCTAGCTTACATATAGAGTTATCCATTCCACATCACAAGGGTTAGGGGTGCAGTGCCCCTGCAAGTTGGAAAATCCACATGAATTTTTTTGGCCCTCCCTTCATACCAGAGAAGAAGTCAGAATTATTATGAATGATTATGTTATTATATTAAAAGAGAAAATGCATTGGGATTATGTAATACTCTACATATGTTTTATGCATTTCTGAGTTTCCAAACATTTTCTGTGTTGTCTGTTGGCATTCATACGTCATCTGCAGCTTCCACAAAACTCCCCCCAAATTCCCATTTAATTTCTTATGCCAACTCACAAAATATTAAAAACCATAATGGGAAAAGTTGAGACGTGGAAGGGATGACCATACAGCCAATACAGCAGTCAATGGGTGTCCTTACCAGTCCATTTCCCCCTGAGGTGTGGATGGCCATAGAAAAGCTATACATGCCATGTTCAGGGAAATCTCAAGGCTATGACTTGGGTGGGCCTGGTGTATCTCAGTGCCTCCCTGAGCTATGTTAGAACTGGAGTTAGCAAGGGGCAAATGTCAGACTAGGGCCTCTGGCCCTTTTTATCTTCAGCCTTTGGCCAGGTTGTATGCACCCTTAGCCCTGCTCAGTCCAGCTGGGTCCAGAGGCCAGCCCAGTGCTTTAAGAAAAACTCTCATTGACTCCAGGTTTTACAGCTTGCAAAATATTTTCTGCTTGAAGCTGGCTCCAGAAGGGGTGGGGTCCCAGGAATACCTACTCCCTCCCCCCATTAGATTTCTTGAGGGATGCTTGGATGACAAGTTAACCCCTTTTAAGCTTCCCCAAGCCCATCTTGCTTCCCTAAGGTTTTCTAGAAAAGGCCAGAATGCATCTTGTACGGTTTTCTATGGCTGTTTGCAGCAAATTGGGGATAGAATGGGGAATGCTACCCAGAGACTGCCACTCTGAGTCTTGCATCTGCTAATTCGGAGCCTGACCAGCCCTCACCCATGTACTCCAGCGTGCCAGTGCGGTGCCCCAGGGGCTGCAGGGCCTGGGGGCTGTAGGGCTGGGCACTGCCAAAGTCCACAATCTTGAGAGCATTGTCATGTGTGAGCAGCAAGTTGTCAGGCTTGATGTCCAAATGCAGCACGTGGTGGTCGTGCAGGTATTCCAGGCCCTGCAGCAGCTGGACCACATACGTGGCCACATCGTCCTCAGAGTACCGAAACCTGGAGGGAAGAAACAAGGGGGAAGGCACGGGAGGTCAAAGCTGCTCTCCTGAGGCCAACTCCCCTGGCTGTAAATTGTGGGATGCTAAAAACTGCAGGCTGCGGCCAGGGTCCTCAATTATCTCCCTCCCTCTCTCCCCCAAGCCAGCGAGCCAAAAGCCACATTCATTGTACCGTTCACTGAGTCCGCAGAGCAGCTCGCGGTTCCCACAGCTCTCTGCAATGAGCACAAGGTAGCGGGGGGTGATGTATGCCTCGTGCAGGGACATGAGCCGCTCGTGGTGTAGAGAGCGTAATACTTCATACTCCTGAAGCACCCGCTGCTTCCCCTCTGCCACATAGGGGACGATCTTGGCCACGAATGACCGGCCTGTGGCGTTTTCCCGGCAAGCCCTCACCACACCAAAACGACCCCTAGAGGTGGGGGGAAAGGGGGCCAAAGAACAAGGAAACCACAGGGTGAGGTCGGGAGAAAGGAAAGACACAGAAACCCCTGAATAAGGGCTGGGAGCCAGAGCTGGGGCTTCTGGGGAAAGAGCAAAGATGTTTTGGCATCCATGTCCCATCCTACATCTGGATTTGAACGCCAGGATTCTGCATCAATCTCCCTACCCCCAGCTCTACCATAACCCTCCCCCTAGCCAACAGGAATTTATTAAGTGTTTATTATGTTTGAGACAGGTGCAGAGCACTTAAGATACCAAGAAAGGTGCCACCCTGGGTACACACACCCTCCTCCTCCTCATCCCTTTTTTGGACTTGCCTGGCCTTTTCCTCCAGGAAGGTGTAGGGTTTCTGGGGAGGTCCTTGACGAAGTGTGGTGCCCTCAGGGCCAGGAGAGGTGGGGGGTCCACTTCCTGGAGAGCTGACCCTCTCCTTGGCTGGGCTAAGGCTGCGCACGGTCACCTTAGTGGGGCTACGGGAAGGCTCAGGGACTTGGGGCTCAGGGACAGTGGGTTCTGACACAAAAGAAGTCACCACATACACAGGGGCTGGGGAGGAGGTTGGTTTACTCTCTGGGGTGCTAGGGGATGGGGCTTTTGTGTTGGAGGCAAGAGACTCGGGCCTACTAGGCGGGGGGTGATCACCGAGGGATACTTGCCGCGCAGCCAGCAGACCCCTGTGCTTTCTCGGAGGAGTTGGGGGAGGTGGGCCGCCAGCCTTGAGGTGAGACTGGACCTGGTTGAGGGGCGTTGGGGGAGAGGGAGAGGCTGGGGCTGGAGAAGAGACTGTGGGGAGGCTGGAGCCAAGGTAGACGTGGGCTCAGGAACTGGAACTGGAGAGACTGGAGAGGATGGAGCTAAGGTGGCAGGGGCTGGTGTGGCTGGAACTGGGGAGGCTGGGGCTGGAGATGCTGCAGCTGGGGAGGCTGGGGCTGGAGATACTGGAGTTGGGGCGGCTGAGGTTGGTGTGGCCGGGGCTGGAGATGCTGCAGCTGGGGAGGCCAGGGCTGGAGATGCTGGAGTTGGGATGGCTGAGGTTGGTGTGGCTGGGGCTGGCGAGTCTGGGGCTGAGGCAGCTGAGGCTGGGGTTGGGTGAGAGATAGGTGAGGTAGGAGTGGAAGGAATGGGGGTCCCAGCTGGCACAGAGGTAACAGGGATTTCTTGTTGAGTGGTAGATTTCAAAACTGGGGTATCTGGGCAGAGAAAAGAGAAAGGATTTGCTATAGATCCCTCCATGTAGAAGTGAGGTTCTAGTGATGGATAAAGGCAGAAAGGAGAAAGTTCTCTACTAAGCAGACAGGATCCTAAGGTCCTGAGGGCTCAGGGGACTGGAGGGTATTGTTTTAATCCCTCTGATTCCAAAACCACCAGGTCCCCATCCCATCGATACTAAACTATTCCCACCATCCATCCCTCCAGGGCCCGAGTCCCCCAGCCTCCTGACCTGTGGCTTTCCCAACAAAGACCCTCTCTGACGCGTTGCTGAAGGGACCCTGCCCAGCTCGATTGGCACAGGCCACTCGAAACCTCACACTCATGCCCGGTGGCAGCTGGGTCACATTGTAGTAGCAGTCAGCAATGCCTGAGCTCACACAGTGCCATACGGATTCCCCTGGGGGCAAAGAGGAGATAATGGTGGGAGGCAGGCTGTCTGAGGCCATGGGAGCATGGGGGAGGTCTAGCTCATACAACAGGGTCCCCAGGATTTCTATAAAGAAACGAGGGTGAGGCAAATGGTTCAGTGTGCTGGGGACAGGAGTTAAGGGGAAAGGGAGAAGAAAGACCCAAATCTCATTTCTCCCTCCCCTCCAGTCTCCCTCAGAGACTTCTCCTCCTCACCCCCATCCTCCCAGATCCTCTCAGTTTCCTCCTCCAGCTTCCTCTGAGCTCCCCTAACCCTTCGACCCCAAGGCTCACCATCAATACGTCGCTCTAACGTGTATGTGCAAGGTGCTCGACTGTCTCCAGGCTTCCAAACCACCAATGCTGTATCCTGGTATTTCTGGGGCACTTCAGGGGGAGCCAGCTTGCCTGGAAGGCCTAGTTGGAGGAAGACCTCATGACCCCTTCAATCCCAACGCTGCTATGCCTCTGATTCTTCTCCTCCTCTCTCATCCCTCCGCCCCCATTCCTACTGAAGGTTACCAGCCTTCCCAGCCCTGATCCTGCCCCATGTACTCACGGGCCACAGCCAGGGTGCAGGAGCTGGTGGCACTGCCCAAGGCATTGCGGGCAGAACACTCATACAGCCCAGCATGGCGCTTCCCAGCACGAGGGATGGTCAGCAGCTGCCGTCCATCTTTGCAGGATACTATAGTGACTGATGGTTCTGACCGAAGGGACTGTTTGTCTGCAGGGGCCAAGAAAGGGCCATGGACATGTCAATCCTCTACTCTCCACCCCATAAATGTTTTCTGATCTTCTTGTGATCTCCCAGACAGCCCTGGTCCCTCTCTCTCATTGCTAGGCATGTCCTGTCTCCTAAGAACCAGTCAAACAGGATCTATCTCTCCTGAATTAAGGGGCAGGTGCAGGTGAGGGTTAGATTGGATGTCACCAGCCTACTTTTTATACGGATCACACAGAATGAGGGTGGGAGCCGTGGTGGGGCAGGGGGTGACAGGAGGAGAAGAGATGCACTGCTACCTTTTGTCCAGGATATGTGGGGTGCGGGGCAGGCTGCTGGGAGGCACAGGAGGGTGGCTGCCTCACCCTCCAGCAGCACCTGGTCCTTCAGCTTGATATGAAAGACAGGAGGAAAGTCTAAAGGGAGAATCAGAGAAAAAGTATAGCATTAGCCTGAGGAAATGTTAGGGAGTGGGTATTTGTGGTGGGGAGAGGCAATAAACATTCATTGGGAGCCTTCTTTGAGCATGGTGCTATGGGGACTGCCCAATGGATTAGAAAAGAGCCCTGACCTCACAAAGCTTCCCCTGTAGTGGATGGAATAAGGCATACGCCGATGACTGCAGAATTTAAGCATCATTTGATAATAATACCCAGCACTTATACACCATATAGGTTTGCAAAGCATTTTATATATATATTTGATCTCATTTGCTGCTTACAACAAAGATGTGAAGGAGGTGCTATTATTATTAAAGTAGGTATTATTATGATTTCCATTTTACAGATGAGCAAACTGAGGCTGAGGAAGATTAAGTAACTTACCCAGTGTCACACACAGCTAGTAAGTGTCTGAAGCAAGATTCAAATTCTTAATAATAATAACAGCAGCAACAATAATAATAATAGCAGGGGCAGCTAGGTGGTGCTGTGGACAAGCTCTAGCCTTGGAGTTAGGAGGACCTGAGTTCAAATTTGGCCTCAGACACATGACACTTACTAGCTGTGTGACCTTGGGCAAGTCACTTAACCCCAACTGCCTCACCAAAAAGGCAAAAATAATAATAATTATTATAATAATTATAGCTATCATTTCTAGAGCACCCACTATGTGCAGAGACTATGCTAAATATTTCATGAATACTTAAAATAAAGCTGGGAGGTAATTAATATTGTTATCCTCATTTTACAGAGGAGGAAACTGAGGCAAAGAGGTTAAGTGACTTGTCCATAGTCACTCAAGCTAGTAAGTGTCTGAGGCTGAATTTGAACTCAGGTCTTCCTGACTCCATGGCAGTTCTATTCACTGTACCACTTAGAGGCCTTTGATCATTACAGCAACCCAGTAAGGTAGATAACAGGTATTATTCCCCCCATTTTGCAGATGAAAAAACTGAGGCTAAAAACATTAAGTGATTTGTTCAAGGCCACGCAGGCATTAAATGTCGAAATAGAAATCAGACCCAGGTCTCTCCTGACTCCAGATCCAGTATTCTCCCCACATTTGGGTGGGGGGGAGGTAACTGGAGTTAAGTGACTTGCCCAGGGTCACACAGCTAGTAAGTATCCAGTGCCTGAGGTCAGACTTGAACTCAGGCCCACTTGACTCCAGGGCCAGCACTCTATCCACTACACCTACCCATATTTGTTTTTCAGTTGTGTCCAACTCTTCACGACTCCATTTGGGCTTTTCTTGGCAAAGATATTGGAGCGGTTTGCCATTTCCTTCTCCATCGAATTTTACAGATGAGGAAACTGAGGCAAACAGGGTTAAGTGACTTGCCCAGGGTCAACACAGCTAGTAAGTGTGTGAGGCCAGAACTGAACTCAGGAAGATGAGTCTTTCTGACTCCAGGATTCCAAGACGCTGTGTCACCTGGCTGCCCCTCCCTGTACCTTAGCACACGGCATAGAAACAATGAATACAAAGTAGGGTGCCAGCGTACATAAGAGGTACTCAGTGCTATGAGTATTCGTAGAAGAGAAAGATCACTTTTGATTGATGGCAGGGAGGAATAATTCCATGGGATGAGAGGGAGTACGTGGCTGGTATGAATCCAACCTTCCCCCTTACTCTGAAGAAGCAGAGCCAACAGCCAGGCTGGGACCACTATTATGGAAGTTTAATTGGACCCAGCTGGTGCTAGCCCAGCCTAGCCATGTAAATAGGAAGGGGCTAGGAAAGGAACCAGCTTGGAAACAAAGAAGAACAGGGAGGTAGGGAGGGGAAACAAGCATCTATTAGGCACCTACTATGTACCAGGCTGTGCACTTTATAAATATTATCCCATTTCACCCTCACAACAGCCCTGGGAGGTAGGTGCTGTTAGTATCTATCCCCTTTTCGCCATTGAGAAAACCAAGGCAGACAGAGAGAGGTTAATTGATTTGTCCAGGGTCACACAGCTGGTAAACGTCGGAGGCCACATTTGAACTCAGGTCTTCCTTACTTGAAACCCAGATCTATCCACTAGCTGCACCAGGCAGAGTGAAGTCTGGAGTCAAACGACCTGGATTCCACAGCTTTGCTACTCACTACCTGTATGACTTCAGGCAAGTTACTTAAAACCTCTCCAAACATGTTTTCTGTTCTGCAAAAGGGGGTGATCACACGCTAAGCTTTGGGTAATTCTTCTTAGTTCTAAACTGCCTGATTCCAGGGTGTCACAATGCCTGGCCAGCCTCAGACTCTCGAGAATGGGCTAGTCAGCCAGGAAAGCTGCTCATTTATACCGAAATTCTGGGCATATCGGGACAGATGACCTATTTCCTGTAAGTTTGGTTTATATTTTCTTTCTCTTAATTGCCAGTCACGTTCTCCTCTCCCCCAACCCCCAATCCTAACCTCTGTCTTTAACAAGTTGTGGAGAAAGCAAATGGGTGTTCATTTGGGGAACTTTGCACTACAGGCAGCAGTAGTACCCAGCACTTTGGAGGGGGAGGAAAGTGGGGTAAAAGAAGCCCCCAGTGTTCAGAACGGGAAGCCATTCTGGCCAGAGATCTATTTTGTCCCATCAGCCTATGGAATGACAAATGAGAAAATGGAAGATTAGAAACTGAGTGAGCAGGCTGGGTGGTCACTTCATCATGTGATGTGAGAAGGGCTGGAAAAGCTCACCACCCAAAAATATCTCCTTCCACCTCCCCCTCCCAACCTCCGTGCTGAGATTCTACAAATAGAGACTCATTCTTTTAGATTAAGCATTACCCTCTCCCTCTTTTAAAGGCAAATACCCAGGGTGGCCTGAATGCTGTGATAATGAGAACTGGGCACTACAAAGAAAAGAAGGCTGGCAGAAAGGGCCGGGAGGAGACAAATAAAGGAGGGGGGGTGGAGGGAAATAGGGAAAGGGACAGGAGAATGGAAAAGCAGAGGTTTTTCTAAAGGCCAACCCCGGTTGATAAGGTAAGCAAGCAAGACCCTGGTTCTATCCTGACTTTGCGACTCACACTGAAGAATTATATCATAGCTTGAGTAAGTCACATCCCTGCTCTGGTCCTCAGTTTCCTCATCTGTAAAATGAGGAATTTGGACTAGATGATCGATCCCCCAAGATCCCTTCTAGCTCTGATTTTGATGATTCTGCTGCCTAGGGCAAGGGTGAGGAGGGCAGGAATGTGAAATAGGAGCACTAGGCATTGTAGCAGGGCAGTAAAAAAGAACAGGAAGGGGGACCCTAGGGCTATGTGGAGACAGAAGGAATGTCTTAGGGACCTGGAAAATCAGAGGGTTAGGTTCTCGCTAAGTTAGGCATACTTCGTCAAAGTCCTTCAGGTATCGGGAACTGGTCTGGGCAAGGAGAACAACCAGGGAAAATTCAAATATGGTGCCCATGATGCCATATTAAAGAAATCAGTTCAATCCAAGACCCCACAGCCTAACAAGACATCTGAGTTAGAGCCTAGAATGCCTTCCCTCCCACCACCCCAAACCAAGAAAGGAGAAAATAACCAAGGAGGAAGTGTTGGTAGCACCAGGGATGTCCTACCTGACTCACTGCGCACATACTGGTAGCCCAAAGTCGAATCCTCCTGGACACTGGATGGGAGGTTAGGCTGCGATGATCCTTTGTCCTTCCGTGACCTTGACAGGCCCCAGCGATCCCAGCGGGACCGAGTCCGGCCTTCCCCAGGACCTGCAGAAACCCTAACTCATTGGCACTGGCCCACCTGGTCCCGGCCCTGGCCTACCTGGTCCCGGCCCTGGCCTGTCCTATTTTGACTTTACAGATGCCCCAGCACAGGGAAGGTTACAGATGGGAAAAAATTGCCTCCCTCCCCATCTTACAGCCTTGTCCCAGGCTTCTAGGCTCTTTCTTTCCATTCTATTCCCTGACTCCCCCTTGCCTCAGGTCTCAATCTTAAATTCTTTCAGCCCTTAAGATGCTTCATTATTCCCCAAGGCCTGGGACAGACCACCTTACCCTTGTGTACTTTCAGGGTTTTAGTGTACTCTGTTTTCAGGAGACTTATGTACCTGGTTCTATATTTCCTTGTTTTGGGCACGGGGAAGGGAGGAGAGAAGGCCAAGTTGGAATAATCAGTGATGAGGCAGAAGAAACATGAGCATTTGGAACACCCACAAATCCCAAGCAACCAGAAGGCTTCTCGATGGAAAGTGATCTCAGGATGGTCGAATGGACCAGAATACTCAGGGGGGCCATTCCCAACTCATTAAGGAAAGGGATGGGGGTGGAGGGAAGGTGTTTTCTGAATTGGAAGAAGCCAACGTCCTTCAAGGTCAGGAGGAAGCCAGACTGGAGAGTGGATAGAACATATCTCTCCAGCCTAGAATGAGTCATGGACCAAGCAAGGCCTGCCTGGGTATCTCTAGCAAGAGCCACTTTGTAAGCTATCCTAACTGAGACTTTGCACTTTGGTTTCCTCACTCTGGTGTTTGCTTTTTTAATTTGCTTAGTCTCCTTTCCCTAGAAATCCCACTCATAATCTGGACAGGGAGGTCCATGGAGTGAGCTTGCAGACATCAGGTTAGGACATCCCCTTACACAGAGGACAGAGCAGGAGAGGAGAGAATTAGAGATGGGACGGAGCAGATCACTGGGCCCATAAGGATCAGATGAGGTCAGGAAGACCTCAAGATCAAGGGAGGTTTATGTAAGGTGAAAGCCCTAGGGCAAAGGCAAAGGTCCTAGGATGGTCCACAAGGAGGAGATGGAATTTCTCCGAAGCTGACTTACATCAGCAGGCAAGCCTCAGGACTAGTTGCAGTGGGCTCCCAAGGCCTGGTCCTGTGCTAAGTGAGCTAAGGAAAGCATGCTCAGATCTCTGGCCCAGGCTTGTCTCCTGAGTATCCAGTGTCCCCCAGCTCCCCAGCCTCGCTGTCATCCCTAGTGCATTCCCAGTCTTGGTCCCTCTCTCCATCCCAAGAGCCTAAGTAAGTCTCAAGCCCTGCTGTTACCCCTTTCACCCACTGCCCAGAGCCCGGCCCCAACTTCTGTGCCCTCTGAACAGCCTACCTGAAGAGGCTGAGGTAGCGCTAGCCTCAGAACCCAGTGACTCTGCTGAGGGTGTGGCTGTACCCGCTTGGGCCACAGCTGGTTGTGGGGTAGGCCGAGGCGTCGCAGGCTCTCCCCCTCGGATGTCGCCCGGCGCAGCCGGCCCAGCAGTGGAGTGCTCCCACCAGATCGGCCTCCTGACTCCTCGCTGCTGCCACTCCGGTGCAGACGGCCCGAGAGTCGCTCCAGGGTGGCGCTGAGCTTCCTCCGAACAGCCAGCACTGGGGATCCCCTGGCCGAGTCACCCCCCTCTGAGCTCTCTCCATCCCCAGCCCGGGAAGACCCCCAGGATGGGTGACGTTGAGAGGGGGGTGTCCGGCGAAGCCTCTGGGACAGGGACAGGGAGAGGCGTCGTACCAGCCCCAGCTCCCCAGCCCCCCCAGGCCCACGAAGGTCCTGCACGGAACGGGACCGCTCAGGCCGCTTCACTAGCTCCAGCGGGGTCCCAGCTGGGCTGGGCCTATACATGCCATCTTCCTCCTCTGATCCCCGGGAAAGGCCCCGCTCCTCGGATTGAGAGCGACTCAGCATCCTCAGTCTCCGAGCCAGGGGAGACTGGCGGCTTTTCTTGAATTTAGCTTCAAACACTTCCTCTGAGTCCAGATTTTCAATGCTGCTTAAGCTCCTATCTGAGCCAGTGGGCCTTGAGGGAACCACTGTCTTCTCCCCAAAAGGAGGAGCAAGCCCCTTGACCCCCAGCCCTTGCTTCCCGGGGTGTGCAGAAGCCACCTTGGCAAAGACAGCCGCGTGGGGCTTAGGCTCCGGGGGAGGGCCCAAGATGATCTTCGGAGCACCAGGCAATTGGAGAGATTGCATGATCTGGGCATAGGGGGTGAGGGGGGTCTCTGGGACCAGGGAGACCACGGCTGCCTTTGGAGGTTCTGGGGCCCTGGAAGGTCCTGGCTTAGGCACGTGCTCTTCTCGAGCAGTCTTGAGGGGCCCTGGCCGGGGAGAGCCCCTGGAGGCAGCCAAGGGTTGCTCAGTGGGTCCTGGGGAAACAGGTTTTGTAGGAGACAGCTTGGCAGGGATGGGTTTGGCAGGGCCGTGAGGCTGGGCTTCACTGAGGGCAGAGAGGGAAGGTGACTCCTGTAACCTCCGGGCCCCAAGTTGGGCCACAGGAATCTCCAGGGGGGCTCCTGCCCGTCGGTGCCTCCCCCTGGGTTCTGCCTCCCCCTGGGAAAAACTGCTGCTTTTCTGAAGGCTGCGGGTCTCAGGGGGCAGTGGGTGTTGGGGGGCTGCCTCACTGGAGGCAGCCCGTGCCATCCGGGGATCACGGGCCCTTCCTCCACCCCCCAGGCTCTCTAGCAGAGGTCCCCTGAGGCCGCTGACCTTGCCATCTTCAGGACCCACCCTAAGGAGCCTCTGTCGTAGGGCCTGGAGCCTCTGGGCATACTCTCCCTCACCCAGGCCCCCCCTCACCAGGTGGGCAGCCCCCGGGCTAGGGCTGCGGCGCTGGGGCAGGTCCACCGAGGCTGCCTTCTGCAGCCCCCGGCCAGGCTCCCGAAACCCTGCCCCGGGCAAGGCACTCTCTGCTGAGCTACCCCTGCGAAGCTCCCCCCGGCGGGGAGTGGCCATTTCTGGGGGCTGTGGGCCTGGGGAGGGGAGAGCCTGAGAGCTCGGAGCACTACCGTCTCCTGGGGGGGGCCCACCCTGCTCCTGCCAGTCCATGGGGGTGGAATCCCTAGCGTCAGGAGCCCCAGGGGCATCATCCTCAGTGGGGATGTCAGTGAGAGAGACTCGTGAGCCAGAGAACTCAGGCAGCAGCGGCCGAGGCACGGAGGGTAATTCCTCCAGTTCCTCCTCTTCTGAGTCTGAGGAAGATGAAAGACCCCCTGGGGGTGGGCGCCGAGGCACTGCCACCCACACCCGCTCAGGGGGAGCCCGCAGCAATTCTGGGATCGGGCGCAGCACCAGATGGCACTTGTAGCTGATCTGGGAACGCTGGGAAGAAGGGAACATGGGAGTCAAGGAGGGTGGGAGGAATGGGGGGAAGGGGGAGGCACAGGCAGGAAGAGGCTGCTGCAGAGACAGTGGGATCCACCCCACATGGGCCCTGTTTCCAACTTGTCACCCAGGGTGGGATGGGAAGGGGAAGAGGAGGGAAGGGGAAATAAGAGGCAGGGGTAAAGGTGGCAGAGACACAAAGACAAAAACAGAGAGAGTAAGATAGAGACAGAAACAGAGAGAGACAGAGATAAAGAGATAAAGAAACAGAAAGACAGAGACAGAGACAGAGAAAAACAGACAGAGAGAGAGACAGAAACAGAGACAGAGAGAAAAAGAGAGACACAGAGACAGAAAGAGAGAACAGGGGAAAGGACAGAGAAGGTACGACAAAATGACCCTTTTCTTATTGCCGGTAAAAAGTCTATATTATTACTATATATTTAAAGTGTTTGTGACACTCAAAAAACGATAAGTTGGTATTGTGGGTAGAAGGACTACCCTGAAGATACCGGAGTGTAGCATCAAAAATGAACCTGCGTCAGAGGTAAAACTGGTAACTGTTGGCTGGGCTCAGAACCTGGCTGTCATCCCTGCTCCACAAATGAGCTAATGCTGCTGGTGCCCTGGCAATGGGATTTGAGGGGAGGGGCAACCAGGGACCTTGCTTTTGGTGATACAGGGTGGTACAATAAATTTAAAGCCAGGGGACCTGGGTTTGACTCCTAATTCCACTACTCAGAACCAATGCGACCTTGAGGGAGACATCTCTGCGCCTTGGTGTCCTCATGTATAAAATGGACCAAATGATCTCGAAAGTTCCCTCCCAGGTCTAAATCTTTTTAAGGGTTTCTGGCAGAAAATGGTCTTGCTCGAGTCAGGCCAGGGATACCAGCATGGCCATTGTAGGCCATGGGGCCTGCCTACTCCTACAACTAATAATAGCTAACATTTATATAACGCTTATTATATGCTAGGCACTGTGCCAAGAGCTTTACAAATATTAACTCATTCGATCCTCACAATAACCCTAGAAGGTGGGCTATTATGACTCCCATTTTACAGAAACTGAGTCAGAGATCAAATGATTTGCCCAAGGTCATCAGTTAGTATTGGGTCTTCCTGACTCCAGGCCCACTGTGCCACCTAGCTGCCAAGGCTAGACAATAGCTAGAACAGGGCAAGAACCACCCTTAACAACAGACTCATGCCTAAGCTTAAGAACCGATTGAGACAGAACAGTCCAGCATGAAGAAGTACATGATGAGGTGTGTTCATCACAGCTGCCACGAGGGGACGTGACAAAAAGAGGGCTTCTCGCCACACTCCTCTGGGATTGGGGACTGCCCGTCCAAAATGGTCATTTGGTGGTGGGACATGTTACCTACCTAATTAGACTGGGCTGTGGTAGGGTTACGCAGATGGTCACTTAGGTAGTGATTAAGTGGAAAGCCTGCCCATTGGCTGAGAATGGGACCCAGACTGGAAAATGGAGGAGAGTTCTGATTCCAGAGATGACATTCTCCATTAGATCAGAGTGTGAGTGGCATATCAGGCAGGGTGGGGGCTCCAGGCCTAGTGACTCATGGCTTACCATCCAGCTGGGGGCCAGAGTCAAAAGGATTGCTGTATTCATACTTTCAATTACCTGCACCTTATTCTTGTGTCTATACGCTACCTTCTTCCCCTTGGGGTATGGAGGGCATGGGGGCAGGTTTAAGAAGAGAAAGAGGGTGCGGATGCTGGAGCCAGGGATGGTAGCAGTAACAAAAGAAGGGGGGAAACAGAATCAGGTATAAGTAGGGAGACGCGTAGGCTGAGGCCACCAGGTTAGGGTGGCCTGTTTTCTAGATCCAAGGGTGAGAGAATAACATGGATGTAGCAAGAAGGGATCCCTGAGTCAATCCCTTAGAGCAGTAACAAAAGCCAGAAGGCTGCCATAGAAGGGCCCATAACTAGAGCAAATACCTTATAAGGCCAGGATAGTGGGGTGCATATGTGTATGTGTCAGACTTAGGGTAAGAGTGAGGGCATGTGTGTGTGTGTGTGTGTGTGTGTGTGTGTGTGTGTGTGTGTAGACATGATGTAAAAAGGACCAATGAGAGTATGAGGAGAGATACCAAGTGGGGGAGGCATGAAATGATGAGACAGGTAGGTGGTATAGTGGACAGAGAGCTGGACTTGGAGTCAGGAAGACCTGAGTTCAAATCATGCCTCAGACACTTACTAGTTGTGTGACCTTAGGTAAGTCACTTAATATCTTTCTGCTTCAGTTTCCTTATCTGTAAAATGGGGATAATAATAGCACCTACTTTCTAGGGTTACAATGGGGATCAAAATGATATATGTAAAACAATTTGCAAACCTTAAAGCAATAAATGTATTTATATATTCATATATTCAAATATATATTCATGCAAAGACAATGATGATGATGATAAGTATGTGTGTGTTTTATGAGAATAGGAACCTAGCTTTGGCATGGTGAGCAGTGTCTCTCTTACACCTAGGGCAGGATGGAGAAGGCCTACCTGGTGGCTGCTTTCACAGCTGCTGTAGATTTATTTGCGTTCCTAGGTGGCTGCCCCATTCCCCACCCCCTCTTCCCTTCCTACCTCCAGCTTTTGCTAGCACAGACATTTTCTAATGGACACTGTGGCACACAGTTTGGGAAATTGGCAAAGATTTGCTAATATAGAGGACTGATGGTTCCAGAACACAGCCCAAAAGTTGGTAGGGGGGCCCAGAAGGGGCACCAGCTTTGAAGCGAAAGCAAGCTGGAATTTGGTTGGAGGCACAGCTGGAGGAGCCTCACACATGGGGTTTTCTCCAGAGGCAAGATGGCACCTAGCCATGCAGTGAGGCCAGCCTAGATGCTAGTTAGGGGCAGAGATGATTAGCCCAGGAAGCTGGTGCTGGCCTCTAAAATTAGATTAGGAGAAGATTCCAGCACTCTTTAAACTTAGATTCATTTGCCCTTTCCTCCTTAAATGTTAGTTTAAAAAAAGTGTGTTAGCCAAGTCCTACTGAAAACTCCAACTTCTGGATTCTTAATGAAAAATAAAGGGGCCATTCACCCCAAGGCTAGGCAGAGGAGTAGGAACTATTGATATTTGGAAGATACAGAAGATATCGGCATCCTTCCAGCACCCCCAGCATCTTTGGGGTACCAAGGAGAAAAGATTGAGTATCCAGCAGAAAAGTCATAAGACCCCATGTAGGGCTGGGCTAAGGCATTGAGAGCCAATCTCTTTCCTGCCTAGGGACCCATTTCCGCACATCAGCCCCTCTAGAAACCAGGTGTGACCAAGTAATGGTATCTGCTGATAGGACATTGCATCTGGAGTCCTAGGGAGGTCTATGCAAGAAAAAGGAGGGTGGCAGAGGGAGAGAGAAACAGAAAAAGAAGAGGATGAGGGAGAGAAGAGGGGGAAGAGACAGAAGAGAGGTGTGGAAGGAAGAGGGGGGAGGGGGAGGAGGAGGGGAAGTGAGGAGAGGGAAGGTGGGGGAGAGGAACGTGAAAGGGGGCAGAGATAGGTCAGAGCATGGGGAGAGGGATCAAAGCTCACCTGCCACCTCCTTCGGGACAGGAACAGCTTCAGGTGGTCAGTGCTGATATCTGCACCCTTTGCCGTTGCCTACAAACCCAGGTAAGGAAGTTATAGTGAATAGGGTGACGTCTTCTGCCCATTGCTTTCTCATCTCATTCTCCCTTAGGACTTCTGCAAGGGAGGACCCTGCTGCAGACGACCGGAACTGCAGAGCAATACTAACAGCTAGTGCAGATGGGGAAATCGAGTCTGAGAGAACTGAAGAATGGTTTCTTTTTTGTTGTTGTTCAGTTGTTTTAGTCACGTCTGGCACTTCATGACCCCATCTGAAGTTTTCATGGCAAGTATACTAGAGTGATTTGCCATTTCTTTCTCCAGTTCATTTTACAGATGAGGAAACTGAGGCAAACAAGATTAAGTAACTTGCCCAGGGTCACACGGAAAGTGTCTGAGGCCAGATTTGAACTCATGAAGATGAGTTTTAGGCCCCAAGCTCTGTGCACTGTGCTGCCTACTAAAAAAAGTTTGATGCAGGATTTGAACTCATGCCTTCCCACCTCCAAAAGCAGCACCCATTCCATTATGCCTCTTAGCTCTATGAAGATAGATATCCTTCACACCCACCATTCACTTCATGGGAAGAGTCTCACCTTAAACCAAGGGTGTTCCAAGGTTTCCTCGGCTGTGGGCCGCCTACAAAGAGACAGAGAGGTTAAGTGGGAGCTAGAGAAGAAAGCAAATACATCAAAATATGTCAAAAGCCCATGCTACAATGGAAAAAGCACCAGCTTTGATGTCAGAAGTGGATTCCAATCCTGGTTTCTGTCTGTGTGAACTGGACCCTCAGCTTCCTTATCTATATATAATGATTGCACCTACTTCACACAGTTATCCTAAGGATCAAATGAGATTGTATATATACATATATATATATATATGAGAGAGAGTGTGTGCTTTGCAAACCTTCTAGTGCTTGATATAAATGTTAGCTATTATCATAAAGCAATTAAAGCAGAGCTTTGAACCTGTTTTGTGTCATGGACCCCCTGGCAGTCTGGGGGAGCCTGAGAACCCCTTCTCAGAGCAATGTTTTTAATGCATAAAATGTAATGCATAGGATTCCCAAGGAGTCCAGTTGTGTTGAAATATAGTTACCAAAATATCAAAGTAACAAGTTCGGGGCTGGGAGGGGGAAGTGTGGGACTGAGGCCACCAGGACGGTTTAGTGGGATCGATGAAAGGCGAAGGGGACTCCCAAAGGGCATCCTGGGACTCACAGCCGGTCTCGAACCAGAACTCGAATGAGGAAGCCCCGGGCCTCTCGGCTCAGGCTGAGGAACGTTGTCTCCTCAAACGCCACATTGTAGTTGTGGATGTTCATCAATGTCGTCCGGTCATTCTCTCCAACGAAGGGCGAGATGCCAGTCAGACTGCAGAGGTTGGGTGGGAGAAGGTTGTTAACGGGGCTGAGAACGGGAGGGACACTGGAGGATTCCAGGGTCAGAAGCATAGGGAGGTGGGGGCTCGGAGGACACAAATTGGGGAGGAAGGCAATTGTCAGGGTTATAGGCAAAGGGCAAGGGCCCAAGCAGTCATGAAGACCTGGATTTGGGCTACACAGGGAACACAGCCATGGCATCTCTTCATCCCATCCCATCTCCCCTCCCTTCCCCACATCAGGCTGCTGCTTAAGGCAGAGAGAAGAGAAAGCACTGAAGGGGCTCAGCCATCGGAGAGGTCTTTACCAGAGGAATGCAACAACACCCACAGGCCTGTGGAAAAGAAAGGATGGTGTCATCAGCAGGGACCCCAGTGTAGACTATATCCCTCCTTCCCAAATGACTTATTATAGTTATTGTTGTCTTCTTTGGTATCCCCAGAGCCTGCCACACAGCATTCTAACCCTGTCCTCCCTCCCGCCTCATAATTACCAGACATCGGTGACTCTGGACACAGGTGTCTGGTTGACAATCTCTGGCCCCACAAATTCAGGGGTGCCATATTGGCAATACTGGGGCTCCTCTGGGGTCAGCTCCTGGGCATTGCCGAAGTCACAGATTCGCACTTGCTCCATGCCCCCGGCCCCATTCCACACCAGCAGATTCTCCGGCTACAGGGGACAGACAGAAGAGGATGAGATGGTTCTTTTGTGGGTGCCCTGGTCAACCTGGGCTCTCTTAGGGTTTGGTTTCCCCATCTGCCCAATCAACTGTCAGCCTCCCTTCCCCTTTGCCTTCCTCTCACCTTGATATCCAGGTGCAGCACCCGGCTCTGGTGAAGGTAAGCGAGCCCCTCCAACACCTGCCTCACATAGGCCCGGATCTGGAGAGACAGTGGGGCCCAGAGGCCACAGGGGAAGTGGGGAATACCCAGAACTGTTATCCAGGCAGAATGGATCCAGAGTGGAAAAAAACAAGCTTGCATAAGCTAATTAGGGCTCAGCTGTGATATAAGAATGAGCCTGGGAGAGGGAAGGCAGGCGCGGGGAAGAAGGGTATTGAGGAAGAACAGTCAGTTAACAAGCCTTTATTTAGCACCTGCTGTGTGCCAGGTACTGGGTTAAGCACAGGGCATACAAAAACAAGCAGAAAAAAAAGATAGTCCTTGACCTTAGGGAGCTTACATTCTAATGATGGGGGAAATTGTTTTAAAAGGAGCTGAAAAGCAGCAGAAATTATTGACATGGGATGCCTTTGGTAAGTATCAGCTGACACTGAGGATACATTCTGGGGCAAATTTCAATGGGGAAAACAGGGGAAAAGAGGAGAGACCTTTGAGACCCTGGATGAGGGAAACTGAGTTCTGTAGAGAATGAATTTAGGGGGGTTGGGGGTTTTTTTGGTATTCATCTGTTTTACCACTTTTTAAAATTTTTTTAAATTTTTTTTTTATTTTTAGGCAATTGGGGTTAAATGATTTGCCCAGGGTCACACGGGTTAGTAAGTGTCAAGTGTATTCATCTGTTTAAAAGGACTTAAAATTTTGCTATGGTGAAGTTGTTTCCATTTAAAAATTACTAATTTACATAACACTAGCTGTGTGACCCTGGGCAAGTCACTTAACCCCATTGCCTAACCTCTCCCCAAAAAAAAACCGCCCCCAAAAAATTACTAATTAAAAAAAAAAACAATTACTAGATAGTACTGTTTGCAAAGCCTGGAGCTGTTCCCAATGCACCAGGGCTTAACTGGAGTAAGGGGTTCCTCAGGGTGGTGTCTGTGTTCCTGTAGAGGGCACTCCTCTCTGTCCTGCCCCATCCACCTCCACCAGCACCCCCATGGACAGTGCCATCTCCCCAGAGTCTGGTCCTAGCCAGCTTAGCCATTGCAGAGGTTTAGACAGGAGGAAGACAGCCCCACACCCAACTCCACCCACCCCCTGCCCTCACCTCGGACTCACACACGGTCGGTTTCCTGGCCATTCGTTCTAAAAGCTCTTCTGTGCAGCTGAATCCAGGGTCAAGGAGAAAAAGGGCCTGGATTGACCCTCATCAGCCCCCTGGGCTCCCCCCCCAACCTCACTGGGGAAGGCCAGTCATAGTACATCTCCCCAAAATGCCCCTCCCTCCCCTGTGATGATGTGTGCTTCCCACCAGCCCCCTTCACAGCCTCTCCTCTAAGTACAGCTCAGCGGCAGACAGTGACCACGTCTCCCCACTGCCCGTCCCCTGGGTACAGTTCAGTGACAATAACAAGGCCCCGTCGCCTCTCGAAGGCTTCATGGAAGTAGATGACACAGTCATGGTGGAGCCGGGCCAGCAGCCCGGCCTCCCGACGTGCAGATGACTTTGGTTTGGCCTGGCTCGGGATGAATTTGGCAGCAAACTCGAGACCAGAACTCCGCTCCACCACCCGACGAAGGTAAGAAAAGGCACCTCTGAGACACAGGTAGGCCACGAGGAGGGGTTAAGTTTTGTTCCCCAACCCCGGGACCTCTCTTCTCTCCTCCTCTTCCTTTCACCCTCATCCCCCAAACCAAAACTACTAGATCAGGGGTGGGGCCTTTTAGGTCCTTGGGTGTGGCCTTTTTAAAAAAATTTATTTTTAATTACTTTATTTTGATTTATCAACAATCACTTCCATATACTTTTGAGTTTAAAATTTTTCTACCCCTTCCTCCCCACCACCCTCCCCAAGATGGGGCACAATCTGATATAGGCTATACATATACATTCCTATTAAACATATTTGCACATTAGCGATGTTGTAAGTAAGAATTAGAACCAATAGGAGGAATTTGGTGCAGCCTTTTGACTGAGTCCAAGTTTTACAGAGCATGTCCTTTTATTAAGGGGATTTGTTCTGTGAAGTTTGGATTCAAAGGGCTGCACTTGAGGACCTAGAGGGACACATGCGGCTCTCAGGTTCCCCACCCCTGCACTAGACATTCAGCTTCTTGGAAAGACCCGGATGTCAAGAGTAGGACTCCATCACCCTACCTGCCAATCTCCTGATGGATATCATAAAAGTCACTAAGTCTCCGTCCTCGAAGCTCTTCATCTTCCCCTCCTCCTTCAATCTCCATGGATGTCTGAGCTGGAAGAAAGATAAGGCTGATGGATGGAAGGCTAAAGGGTAGAAAGCAGGGATGGAATGAAGACAGGGAAAAGGAACAGGGGCAGGCGAGCAAGTGATAAAGTTGAGAGTGGGCCAGGAAGTGGCAGATTGGGTAAAGAGAAGGGGTTAAATGTTTTGGGGGCAGTAGCTAGGGATTAGGACACTGGGGCCCAGAAAAGAATGGCTAAGATAGAGCCCTGGATTTGGAGTTGGGAAGACCTAAGTTAAAATAGTGCCTTAGATAATAATTATTAATTTTATGTGACACTGTACAAATCACTTAATCTCTCTCAGCCTCAGTTTCTTCATCTGTAAAAAAAAAATTGATAGCCTCTAAGATCTCTTCTAGTTCTAAATCTGTGATCCTATGAATAGAGGAACTGGGCACAGGGACTGTTAGGTCACAGGGATTTCTTGGTGGACCCTGGGAAAAGGGAGGTATGAAAGGCAGGGTCCCTAGGGGAAAAGGGGTAGTAGGTATCCCCTCCACCCTAACCCAAATGCAAGAACCCTACCAGCCCAGTCACCTGTTCGAATGGCAAGCTCGGCCTTGCAAGACACCTCCCCTGCAAGGTTGCGAGCCGTGCAGGTATAGACGCCGCCATCTTGGGGTCCCGTGCTCAGCACGACCAAGGAGCACTCAGTCTCCTCATACACGAAGCTCACATGGCTGCTCTCCTCCAATAGGGCCTCCTCCTGTAGAGCAGGAGATCACCTCCACCCCCGCACCCCAATCACACCCAAGGCCCCACATCTCCCCTGTGCCCCTCATGTTCCTGATTCCCCACAGGGATTTCAGTTTCCTCCCAAGGTTGACGTTCCCCACTTCAGAAAGCCAGCTCCATTCAGAGGGCTCATCTCTTGTAGGCCTCCCTGGAATAAGGACATCCACACTCTGCATAATCCCTCTGGGGCCCTCTCAGGATTGCTTCTAGTCTCTGAACACAATCTTTCTTCCCTCAGTCCTCCCTTAGAACCAACCGCCTATCTGAGTCTACCCATTCCCTTCATTCCGCACTCACCTTATACCACATAATGTCCGGCAGCGGCTTCCCTTCCACCACAACGGCAAAACGAGCTGTCTCTCCAGATCCAACCTCCACATCCTCCATGATGGACTCGAACCGTGGAGCCTCTGAAACACAAAGGAGTTGCAGTACAGGGTCTGAAGGGGTGACTCTTCCTTGCTGGAAATTGCACCTATTTATTCCAGTATATAGGATATTTCAAAACCTCTGAGGGGGTCACATCACTCCTCAGCTTGAAACTCTTTGGTGGCTCCCTATCACCTATAAACATTGGCATTCAAGGCCCTCTACAATCTGGTGCCACCTTACTTCTCCAGCTTTAGTTCACTTAATTCTGCTGCGCACATCCCATGCCCCACGAAACTGGACTTTGCTTAGCCCCCAAACCTACCCTGTGCTTTATTTTTTAATCTTTTTTTATTTTAGATTGAATACTAGAACTTCAATACACAATAAAAAAATAAAAAATTATAAATTTATATAACATATTCATTTATCATATATTTTATATATGCTATATAATATATATTCTATATAATATATATGATAAACATAAATTTAAATATTAAAACTTAAATATAAAATAAGAAAAGAAAAAAACATGTCATGTGCACAGCAGAACATGAAAGAGGATTAAAAATACATAGCAATAAATTTCTATTTCAAGAAAGCCTATATATTAAATACTGCACATCGTGTTAAAGGCTATCTGTCTTTTCTTTGCTTCCTTGTAGGTTTTCTTTTGTTCTCTGCTGTATACTTTTTACTTTGTCTTTTTTTTCCTTCTTCCTCCCCCCTCCCTTCTCCCCATCCCAGGATACAATTAGGTGTGGATATATTTATATATAGATATAGATACCCTGGTGTTCTATTAATTCCATGCTTTTTCTCACATGGTTCCTTATATATATACTTCACCTGTTGAATTGCCTTATGATCCAAATCAAATTCCACTTTCTCCAGGAAGCTTTCCCTGCCCCCTGTCCCCTACCCCAGTCTGCCATATACTTTTTCCTTAAAGGCCCACCCAGCACGTTGGATTGTACCTTTTATTGTACAATGCACTTTTCATGGATTATTTTGTATTCTATTTGCCAGTGTTTATCACATCCTCCTTCTGAGTTCTAAGAGGACAAGCACTCTCAAGTTTAATCTCCCCAAAGTCTAGCACAGGCCTCCATATGTAGTGGGCACTTCATATAAATAGATATCTGTTGGATTTAATTGACCTGAATTGGACCAGTCTGGCTAGAGCCTTGCAAATGTGATGAACTCATTAGCAGCTCGAAGCACTGACACCAACAACCAGTAGGAGGGACCAGAAGGAGCCCCAGTTTTGAATAGAAGAAGTCAGAGGTTGGTCTTGGGCACAGCTGGGTAGAAGGCATGCAGGGATGTGGAATCTGAGTGGAGACAAATATTAGTCGGGCAGCTTGTGCCAGCCTGATCGGGGAGATGTGAGGATAAGATTTCTGTGTGCTGTAAAGTGGTGCTTTGAAAGTTTCTTTTATTTGCTTTGTTGAGAATTGAATCAACTTCTTTCCCTTAAATGCTGGCAAAATCCCTTTTTTAAAAGGCAGCTCTGGCTCAGATAAGTATTGGCGTAAGCCCTGGACCCTAGGCCCACCTGCAAGTTCCAGGGTGATAGAGCAAGCCTGGGTGCCATGCCGGTTTCTTGCTGTACAGCTGAGGGGGCCCACATCTCGTCGATTCACGTGGCAAATGCGCAGACAGTACTGGTCATCATCTGGTTGGCTCAGCTCATACATTCCTGCACGCGTCTCCAATAGTGCCCCTCGACAGCTGGAAGGGGATAGAGAGGAGAGGAATGATCACCCTCAATGAGGGCTGGGAGGATTACAGCCGAGACAGAGCAGGCATAGGGAGCACAGATTGGGTAGGGTTGAGACCACTACATGGGGCTAGGACACGCTAGAGGGCTGGGGTGAGAATGCACTGAGTAAGGAGGAGCAGAGCCAGTAGTTAAAAGTACCTCCTCCAGACGACTTGGGCTTCCACATGGTTGAAGGTGACAGTGACACTGACCGGCTGCCCCTCTACCACATACACCACATCTGGCTTGTCCAGCACAACAGGGGCTTCTTCTAGAACTGGGCCTAAAGAGTCAGGAGAATAGATGGAGTGAGGAGGGGGGAAAACACATGAGTCTATCCAGAGCTATAGAAGTAGAGAGAAGAATCCATCATAGAAACACAGAAAGCTAAGAGCTGGAAGGGGCCTGAGAATTCATCTGATTCAACGCCTGAGGAGCACAGAGGCAGGGATGGGACCGGAACTGAGGTCCCCTAACCCCCTGTCTGGTGCTCTATCTCTCTGCCTCCCACACTGGGTCTGATACTACCCCTTCAACCCAGTCTATAAAGTGACACCCTTCTAAAGAAAGACCCTTCACTTGTTGGTACAAATTGTATGTGCATATGTCTGTCCGGTATTGCCTGTGGGTGTTGTAAACTGCTAAGTATTTCCCTGGTGGAAGGCAATGGAAACTCAGCCAAAGCAGACAGAGCTTTGCAGATATGGCCACTGGGACGACTGGCCCCGGAAATTGATGAGAGGAGACCCAGGAGGGGACTAGCCCTGAGAGGCAGAAGGAACCTGAGACAGGAGCTGGATTAGAGACACAAGGTAATGAGATTGTTTCCTAAGGAAAAATGGTGGGATCATAGGAAAGCTGGATAGAAGGGGGTAGGTAAAGGAAGGGGGTAGCTAGTCAGCCATGAAGCTTGTGCCAACCTTTACAGCAAGATTAGGGCTATCTTATTATTAACAATAACTCCCATTTACATAGCACTTCATAGGTTATAAAGCACTTTCCTCTCAACTGCCTTAGGTAATACAAGTATTAGGTCCATTTTATAGATAGGGAAATTGAGAGTCAGAGAAGGTCAGAGTCTTGCTCAAGCTTACAAAACCAGAAGGTAAAGCTGAAGCTCAGCTTCTGAGTATAGCCTTCATTGTACTGTAGAACAAGGGTTCTTAACTTTTTCTGGGTCGTGGACCCTTTCGATAGTCTGGCAAAGCCTATTTTCAAAATCATAGTTTTTTTAAAAAATGTTTTAATTTAATTTTTTTTAGAATTATGCTTTTAAATGCATAAAACAAAATACATAAGATTACAAAGAAAATCAGTTCTATTGAAATATAATTATCACAAGCTTTTTGTTAAAGTTCAGGGACCCCAGGTTAGGAACCCCTGATTTAGGATGAGATTCCCAAGTTCAATAGCTCTGCAATTCTATATCATACCAATGTTTTATTTAACCTTTTCTCCCTTGAATTCTAGTAAAGCTTTTTCTGTGAAAGACTTAATTTTGCCTTTCAAAGCTAGTACCCCTCCTGGGTCTCCTCTCATCAATTTCCAGAGCTCGTCTTCCCAGCGGCCATATCTGCAAAGCTCTCCCTACTTGGACTGAGTCATAGTTCCACTGACTTCCACCAGGGAAATACTTAGCGGTTTACAATACCCATAGGCAATACCTGACAGGCATATGCACAGATATGCTCAGAAGAGCTAAGAGGAAGGAAATGGGTTATTTCTACCCTTAGGCCAAGAGAATCTAGGAGAACCAAGAGTAGGGTGCAGGCCTAGGCAGGTGCTAGGGACAGCATGAGACACAGGACACAGCAAGATGAGTAGGGTGCTGTTAAGTAGAAATCATATAAGGCATCACAATAGCTGGAGGTTCTAATGCTTGGTCTATGGTAGGGCTAGGAAAACTCAACTCTTTTCCTCCCTGGATTCCTGGTTTATTACAACCCCCTGCCCAGTCCCGTCTTACCATATCAGGTTTTCTTTCAGTCCCCATCTAGGACCACTTTTCCCCTTGTCACTCAACACCACCGGTAGCAGGTTCTAACCACCACTCCCACCCTGTCCCCATTCACCAGGATCAAGAGCATCCCAATACCACCATCTAGTAGTCCACCTACCCCTTTCCAAGAGCTGCACGGGTTCAGAAGCTGGGGAAGGTTTACTGCTGCTCTTGACTGTGGTGCTGAGGACTCGGAAGATGTGCTGTGCCCCCTTGCGCAGCCCCATGGCTGCCCAGCTTGGCTCCCGGAGGCCCATGGCCAGAGCTGTCCATTGGCCTGAGCCTACCACTTGGTGCTGAACTGTGTAGGTCAGAGTGTCTGGATCTGATGGAAGGAAAGCAGAAGGTAAAAGAGACTTCTTTGTAGGAAGGTTTTCCTGCCCCCACTCTAGTCCCCAAAACTCTTAGACAAGGCTTTTCTTTCCTGTTGCTCTCCTGGGGAAAACAGGGACTCCTGCTATTATACTAGGCTTAGAGAATAAGGGGCAGAGAGGTGGTAGGTCGAGGACCCAGTTACTAGACATCCAGAGTAGAAGGAAATATAGTATGTCATAGGATCATAAAGTCATAGTTGTAGAGCTGGAAGGGCCCTTAAAGGTTATCTAAACCAATCCCCTCATTTTATAAATAAGAAAACTAAGGTCCAGAGGGATTACGTGATTTGCCTAGGGCCATACAATTAGTAATTATAGAGCTAGGATTTGAACCCAGGTCTTTTGATTCCAAATCCAGTTCTACTTCTATAACATCATGTTGCATCACGTGAGCACAGCCAACAATGCCTCTCTAAGCAGAAAAACTGAGGCACAGAGCAGAAGCACAGCCCCAGACAGTCCAGGATAGAGACCCATATATTCTGCATCCCAGCCCAAGGCCCAGATCAGTAGTTTAGCTGACAACAGCTGGATGCAGTGAAATATCTGTTTCTTAAGCTTTAACTCCCAGTGGCAACTCATAGCTGATGTGGGGATGGAAGAGAGGGGACTAGGGAATGGAAAAAGGACTGCAGTCTCACCCACCCAAACCTTCCTCCCTGTTCTCCTTTCTAGCAGCCTTTGTCCCCTCTGTTCTCACTCCATTTAGCAAGCTTTACTCAACACCTGTGGCTCTCCTTAAACCTCTATGCTCCCCTATGGCAAAACATGCCCACATGGATTCCTGGTATCCCTCTACAGCCCTGACTTACCAATGGCCATGTCGACACTACTGGGAGGGTTCCATTTGAGCATAACCATTCTCCCAGTCACAGTCACCACCTGTGGGGGCCCATCAGGAGGACCAGGCACTAAATCTGAAAGCCATATCAAGAAACAATTCCAGTGAGGTGGGAGTAGACCCTACATCTCAATTCCAGTGAGGTGAGAGTAGACCCCATATCTCCCTGGAAGGAATTCCAGAGTCACAGGGGCTATCCAAGTACCAATGCGTAAATTCCAGGCATAGGTACATCAGTTATCACCATACCACCACCACCACCACCACCACCATCATCATCATCATCATCATCATCATCAATCATCCTGCCTTAGTAGACAGTCTTTGTGAATTTCTGTGGCTGAAAACTTTTATCACCCAACTTCCTGTAGTCTGACTTCTTTTTCAAATTTCTAAATTTGTTCTCAATTAACAAAAAAAAATCTATTTTTTCTCCCTCCCAACCCCCCCCTCATAGAGAAGAGAAAAAAAGAGAACCTTTGGAACAAACATGAACAAATTCCCACATTGGCCATGCTGCAAAATGGATGTCTCATTCTGCACCCTGAGTCTGTCCCCTCTGTGTCAGGAGATGGGTAACATGCTTCATCACCGGTGCTCTGGATTCATGGCTGATGATGCATTGATCAGAGCTATGAAGTCTTTCAAAGTTGTTTGTCTGTTCAATGTTATTGCTATTATAGAAATTATTCTTCTGGCCCTGCTCATTTCACTCTGCATCATTTCCCCCAAGGCCTGACTACTTTCTGTCACCAGCTTGGTGATGAGCATCTCCAAACTGAGCTAAACTGGTCCTCTGACCAGAGAGAATCTAGGGAACTCTCTCTACAAATACAGGTTGGCCCCTTCTTGGCAACTTAGTCTTAGAGAGGTGCTCAAAAACCACTAAACCATGTACAAGGATCCCTGCAGGCTGTACATGGACTTAGTTTTTAAATGTGATATTATATGCTTTGCATGATTGCACATGTATAACTTATATCACATTGCTTACTGCCTTAGGAAGGGGCAGGGGAGGGAGGAAAGGAGAGAATTTAGAACTCAAAATTTTTAAACAACATATGTTAAAAATAATTTTTACATGTAATTGGGGGAAAATAAAATATTATTCAAAAAAAGGAAAAAATGAAAAAAGTAATATTACCTATGTCTTTCTATATTTTTATTTATTTTGTTAAATATTTCCCAATTACATTTTAATCTGGTTCTGGCCACACTTAGGAGTGTTGTGGGTTGCATGTGGTCCCTAGGGCATGTATTTGATATGTCTAGCCTAGAGTAATAACAGGTTAAGTGATTTGCCCATGGTCACATGGTATCAGAGCCAAGATTTGAACCCAAGTTTGCTAACTCTAGACCAAGATATCTTAGCTTAGAGTCCATGCCCTACCCCCTCAAGCAGTCTATGGATAGATTTCAGAGGGTCCATGAACTTGGATAGAAAAAATACATCTTTATTTTCAATAGCCTCTACCTAAAATTTATCATTTCTTTCTATTATGAATTTTTAAAAAACCCATTATTCTGATGAGAGGTCCATAACTTTCATCAGCTTGCCTAAGAGGTCAGTGACACAAATAAAGGTCAAGAATCCCTATTACGTGAATTGATGCAAAGTGCAGTGAGCAGAACCAGGAGAACATTGTACATAGTATCAGCAACATTGTGAAATGATCAACTATGATTGACCTAGCTCTTCTCAGCAATACAATGATCCACGACAATTTCAAAACACTCATGAGGGAAAATGCTATACACAGCCAGAGAAAGAACTGATGGACTCTGAATGCAGATCAAAGCATACTATTTTCACATCATTTTTTTTGGTGTGGTTTTTTCACTTTTGCTCTGTTTCTTCTTTCACAACATGACTAATATGGAAATATGTTTTACATGATTGCACATATATAGCCTACATCAAGTTGCTTACCATCTTAGAGAAGAGGCGGGGCAGAAGTGAGGGAGAAATTGTGGAACTCAAAATTTTATGAAAAATGAATGTTAAAAATGCATGTAATTTACTATTTGCTATTTGTTTTCTTCTGTTGAGTTTTGTTTCCTCTTTATGGTGGTTCCTCCTATTGGCTCTAATTCTTACTTACAACATCACTAATATGAAAATATGTTTAATAGGAATGTATATGTATAGCCTATATCAGATTGTACACCATCTCGGGGAGGGAGGTGTGGAGGAAGAGGGAGAAAAATTTGAAGCTCAGAAGCTTATGGAAGTAATTGTTGACAATTCAAAATAAATTAATTAAAATAATAATAATAACAATAATAATGCATGTAATTGGAAAAAATAAAATACTATTTAAAAGAAAAAGAAAAAAAATAATCTTTGTCTAGTTCAGGGCAAGTCAAACTTACTAGGCCACTGGACAGAACACTATGTGAGGTGCATAAGCACCTGCCTATTGATTATTTGATTCTGGGGTGGAAATGCCATTAAAGTTCTTCTCCCCAACCCCCACTCCTTCTAAAAATAAAAGGAATGCCACAGGAAGCTTTTAGACAAAAGTCCAATTCCCCCAAGGGGCAGCTCTTTCTGACCTAGGGATTCTCAGATCTCAGGCTGGGAAGGGACCATCAGGAAGACAGTGGTCAGAAAGAAGGTCCTCACCTGTGACATAGAGGTGGGCGTAACAGGCAGCCTTGCCCAGCTTGTTAGCAATGACGCTCTTGTAGACACCAGCATGCTGTGGCCCCACCATTGGGAACACCAGTCGATGTACATCCCTGTCTGGGGAGGGAAAGGAGTACAAAGACAAACACAAGGTGGGAGCTAGGGAGACTCTACAAAGGCTGGGATTCCCATAGCTCAGTTGAGACCCTGAAACGTAGTAACAGTCAGGCTTGGGGAAGCCCCAGAGACAAAGGTGTGGCATCAGCCACAATCCTTCGCTGGCACCCGCAAAGACAAAGAGAAGGACGGAGAGAGCAGAAGACTGATTACCTTGGGTCAGAACCCTGGTCTAGCCAGCTCGAGACGCATTCCCGAGTCTATATCTCTAGCTTTGATTTTTAAGGCTCATGATTTGTACTGGAAGGCACCTTAGAGATCGTCTAATCAAATGACCTCATTGTACAGATCAGGTGCCGGAAGGAGAACTGATTTGCCCAATGTCCCCAAGGTCACACAGTTTATCCCTAAAACTAGAATGATCATCTCTCTACCATGCTCCGCCCTCCCCCCTAGCCCCGCCCCTTCCAATTTCTCTATCTCTGTTAGTAGTACCTCCAGTCTCCCTGGCACCAGGCTTGGAGTCATCCTTGATCCCTCCCCCTCCCTCTCGCCCTACAGCAGTGAATCACTAAATCTCTTTGATTCTTCTTCCAAGATGTCTCTCACACCTTTTCCTTTATATTTTCTTCATAGCCATGACCCTAGTTCAAACCCATAGCCTCTCACATCTGAACCAAAATAGTCTAGAATTAGGGAATTTCAAAATGTCACAGCTGAAAGGACCTTAGAGATGTCCTTATCCAACCCTCTCATTTTACAGATGAGAAAACTGAGTCCCAGAGGGCCGAAGGGGCTTACCCAAGAGCCTATGGCTAGCACCTCAGATAGCCCCCAAGTCTAGCGCTATCCCTAGTGCACCACACTGCTCCTAGCTCTTCCCTCTGCTCAGTCTTTCTCCCCTCTGATCCAACTCACACATTACTAGCGGGTAAATATGATAACTCTTATAAAGATTACACAACTCTGCACACACGACTCCTGGGCTCAGAAATTTCTAATGACTCTCAGACGCCTACAGGACACAATCCAGACTCCAGGCCTGGCCCACAAAGGCTCCCACAACTGAGCAACTCCCTGCTGGCTCCAGACTAAGCTCCCACCACTCCCCTGCAGAAGCCCACTGTGCCACTCCAACCTGTCCACTGTAGTTGTTCTCTGAAAACATTCCTAACTCTGCATTTGCATCATGCTCATGTCATTACCCCTACCTTAGGGGAAACCCCTTCCTCCACACATCGACATTCTCTTCTTGCTCTAAGGCCCAGTCCACCTCCTTAATGAAGTCTTCTGTCACTGCCCCTAGCACTCAGTGATCTTTCCTCTCATACTCTCTGCTGTGTTTAGTCAGTTGTTTTCAGCTGTGTCTGACTCTTCATGATCCCATTTGGGGTTTTCTTGGTAAAGATACTGGAGCGGTTTGCCATTTCCTTCTCTGGTTCATTTTTTACAGATGAGGAAACTGAGGCAAATGGGGTTAAGTGACTTGCCCAAGGTCACACAGCTAGTGTCTGAGGCTGAACTTAGGTCTTCCTGACTCCAGGCTTGGCGATCTATCCACTTCGAATTCACTGTATTGCATCGCCTTGGGTTGTTAGTTCACTTTTCATAGGTACATGTCATATCTCCCCAATTAGGCTGGAAATCTGCTGGGGGCAGGTAGTTTGTCTTAAATAGCTCTACCTTCCCAAAATAGAGGTTAATGCCCTATACATAGCAGATGCCCAATGTTTGTTGAGGTGGAGGATTTTGTCTCTAACAATGCTACCAAGGGGTGTGTTGTGGGAGAATGCAAATCAACATAGCCCCAACTAGTCTTGGAATCAGAGAATCTGAGTTCAAATCTTGCCTCTGCTATTTACAACCTGGATGATTTTAGGCAAGTCATTTTCTGTCTCTAAGCTTTGGTTTCCTCATTTATGAATCAAGGATGCTTGACTAGCTGCCGATGACAATAACAACAGTCCTAATAGCGAGCATTTATAGCACACTTTTAAGATTTTCAGAACACTTTAAAAATGTTATCTCCTTTAATCCTTACAACAATCCAAGAGGTAGATGCTATTATTATCCCCATTTTATAGATGAAGAAACTAAGGCAGAAAGTGGTGAAATAACATGACTAATGTGGAAATATGTTTAACACGATTGCACATGTATAGCATCAGATTGCTTGATGTCTTGGGGAGGGAGGGAGAAAAATTTGGAATTCAAATCTTATAAAAATCAATTTTGAAAATTACATGTAATTAGGGGAAAATACTATTTATTTTTTTTAAAAAAGAAAGGCTAAAAAAAGTGGTGAAATGACTTGTCCAGGGTCACACAGCTGGTTAAGTGTCTGAGGCAGGATTTGAACTTGTGTCCCTGACACTGTTCCCATGCTTTATCCACTATGCCACCTAGATGCTACCTTAGATGTTCCCTAAGATTCTTTCCAGGTTGAAATTCCATGACTTCCTTGAATTAGTCTCAAAGGTCAAGATCACCAATCCCAGCATTCCTTTTTTCCCTTGATAACCATCCTGCCATGGCTTTATCTATGACCACTGAATTTATCTAAACTTAAAACTGCACAATTTACAGATGGAAGAGGGAGATAACTGTAGTTGTAAGCTGCCCCTACTGGAAATTTCTCTTCCCTATGAGCCCCTTGCCTCTCCTAAAAATTCAAAGCTAGGCACAGAGATAGTAATTCAGGCCCTGAGTCATAGACAAGGTCAGGGGGCATGTATACTGCTCCACAGTCAACAGAGGGAAAGGAGGGTGTTGTGCCCTGTCTATGGTGGTACAAGGTAGCAGTATGAGAGATGGGGTGGCATGAGAAGAGTAGATCCTAAGGTTGTGGAACAGCTGGAAGGGAGAGGCAGCATGTAGCTGTGAAGATAAACTCTAGGGGCCTATCCTCATTATTTGTGCTCTCTGGTTGTCTAAGATCCTTTTCCCTCTACCCTGTTGGGTCTTTCACCCTGGCCGCAAAGGGTCTGGCTGAAGTGTGCAAACAGGACAAGGAGAGGGCTTACAGAAGTTGTTAGAGAACCTCCAGTAGGAAGAAATATATGCCCAGATAACCAGGGCCCTGAAGCGACACCCATCCCTCCTCCATCTCCTCCTCTCCCACTTCCCACCCCCACCTAAGGGGTCTCACTGCCTCCCCAGCTGGATGCCAGATACCTACACTGTGTCATTCGACGATTGTCCGAACTCTGGATGCGCTGGCCATTGTGGAACCAACTGATGGTGGGGTAGGGCAGTCCAGCCACCTGGCACTCTAGCACTGCCTCCTTGGCCAGCCCCACCTCCAGGTCCATCAGTGGCCTGAGGAAATCGGGCATGGACAGCCGTTCCAGCTCTCCCTGCTCAGGTTCCTCAGGGATTGAAGGCATCTTCTCCAACTTGGAGCTATAATCAATGGGGTGACTGCTCAAGGGAACTGCAGGACCTCACCCTGCCCACCAGAGTGAAAGACCACCCCCCTCACACACAGGCTCCTGGGAACTAGCTTCTCTCCCTGTCTTAACCAGTCTTCTCCACCTTGGGGGGTGGGGGCACTCCAGCTAAAGCAGGTATTTGTGGGAGGTGGGCAGTACCGCCAGGCCCCCTCCCTAACCTGCCCCTGGGGCCCCAGGAAATACCTGGGACCTGAGGTGGATGAGCGAGGCTCTTCCACGTAGAGCTGGGCAGAGCAGTTGGCCTGGCCATGAATGTTGGTGGCACTGACTTCATACAGACCTTCATCCTCACTGCCCACGTGGGCTATGAGCAGGGAATGAAGGCCCCCTTCATGCCGCAGCCTCACATTCTCATTCTCCTTCACGGGGTTACCTGAGGAGCAGAAGGGGTGGAATGAGGAGACCAGGAAACCAAATGAGGGAGGGGGAGGGGGAGGGGAGAGGGAGAACTGAGGGAACCAGAGGCAAAGAAGGATGGATCAGAATTGGTAGGGTGTAGAGGGCACAGTAAAGAGGCAGGCAGAGGAGTGATGGCAGAATCAAGGAGGGGAAGAAACCAGGTGAAACAAGAGGGCGATAGGCCTGGAATGGGGGATGGGGACAGTCTGGGAAGATGCCCTTCCCTCACCCCCCACCACACACATACACAAATACATACTCACAGACACACACACACACACACACACACACACACACACACACACACACACACACACTATCACCCCAGGAGACTAAAGGCCGAAGAGCTTCAAAGCTAGGTTCTAGTCTCAATCAGGTTGGGGAAGGAAGAAAAACATGGGGAGAGGGGTCAATGCATGAAATAAGGCTGGAAAAGTAGGTTGGAGCCACACTAGAGTGCCACAGAAGTTTTTTGAGCGGTGATATCATTCTCCAGTCCAACCACCAGACAGCTGCCAAAAGAATCTTACTGAAGCACCATTACCAAAATGGGTCCAGGTGATGGTGGGGGGTGGCAAGCCACTGATCTTGCAGTCAAACCGAGCTCCACGGCCCTCCAACACTTCCACATCCTCCAACATCCTTGTGAACAATGGTGCCAGTGAGGGCCGAACAGTCAGTCGGGCGCTGCAGGTCAGTTCATCTGGTTTTAGGAGTGGAAGGGAGGCAAAGAGATGAGGAGGAAAGGACTAGAATTTATTAAGTCTCTACCACATGCCAGGAATTATGCTATGTGCTTTACAAATATTAACTCATTTGATCCTCAAAAAACCCTGGGAGGTAGGTGCTATTATTTTTCTCATTTTACAGTTGAGAAAACTGAGGCAGACAGAAATTAAATGACTTGCCCAGGGTCACACAGCTAATATCTGAAACTGGATTTGAACTCAGGTCTTCTGACTCCAGGCCCAGCACTCTATCCACTGTACCACTTAACTGTCTCTAGAAGAGGAGTCCTCTGAAACAGGGGCATCAGGACATTTACCAAGTCTCCTTTCCTCCCAAAAGGAACATGCTAGATAGAGTACCAACCAGACATTGGACATTATAGGGAAAGAATAGGGACAGGGAGCCCACCACTCTGAGAATGGCCTTGGGCAAAGCCTAGCTCAGCCTGAGAGAAAGGCGTTGGGAAGTCAATTCAACCAAGAAAAAATCAATTGACAAAAATGTTAAGTTATCTAGTATGCACCAGGCTCATTGCTCACTGCTGCAGGTCAACCTCTCTCCAACTCCCCAAAAAAGGCTATTTCAAACCTTCTCTTCTCTTCTCCCCTCTACTATTCCCTCCATCCTTCCTCTCAGCAGAGAATCATGCCTTCAACTTCACTGAGAAAATCAAGGCCATCCATCATGAGCTGCCGTTTCCCCTCCCACTCCGTACTTCAAAAGCTCTCTACATTGTCCCCCATTTTCTCCCTTGTGACCCTTCTCCTTCCTCTGCTTTTGCTCTTGATCCTGTCCCCTCCTGTCTCCTCCAGGAGCTTGTTCCATCAATCATTTTCTCTCTCCCTCTGTCTCTCTGTTTCTCTCTCCCTCTGTCTCTCTCTCTCTCTCTCTCTCTCTCTGTGTCTCTGTCTCTGTCTCTTTCATACTCTATCTCTCCTTGTCTCTTCATCACCTGCCAACAAACATGGTCAGGGCTTCCTCATTATTAAAAGCCTTCACTTTACCCTGCCATCCCCTCAAGCTAACATCCCATATCTCTTCTCCTTTCCACACTCAAACCTCTAGTAAAAAAAAAAGACCATTTATATTTGTTGCGTCTACTTCTTCACCTCCCATGTACTTCTCAGCCATATGCAATCCAGTATTCAACTGAAAATACTCATTCCAAGGTCTAATGATCTCTTAATTGCTAAATCCAATAGCCTTTTCCTCACACCTCCTCCTTTTTGCAGGCAGCTAGATGATACAGTGGATAGAATGTGGGACTTGGAGTCAGGAAGACCTGAGTTTAAATCCTGTCTCAGACACTACTAGCTGAGTGACCCTGGAAAAGTCACTTAACTTCTGCCTGCCTCAGTTTCATCATCTGTAAAATGGAGATAACAACAGCACCTACCTCACAGGAGTTGTTGTGAGGGTCAAATGAGATAACGTAAAGTAAAGTGTGCTTTGAAAACTTTAAAGAACTCTACAAATGCTGGTTATTACTATTTTTACTGCTCTCACTGACATTGTCAATCAGTCCCTTCTCTTGTATACTGTCCCCTCCTCCCTAGTTTTTGACACTGCCCTCTTCTGGCTTTCTATCCATCTATCTGACTACTCCTCAGTGTCCTTTGCTGAATCACTACCCATTGGTCTGTCCTCCAAGGGTCTCTTCTTTCTATACCTTCACTTTCTTTCTTGGTGGTCCCAGCAGCTCCCATAAGTTTAATGGCCATCTTTATGCAGATGATACCTAAATCTATGCATCCTAATCTCTACCGTACACCACTCCTGCATCACCAGCCACCGGCTGAACATCTCCACTTGGACGTCTCACAGGCAACTTAAGCCTAACATATCCAGAATAGAACTCAATGTTTCCCCCCACCTAAATCTGCCCTCAGTCACCTGAATTCAAAACTTGACTCTTCCCTTTCTCTCAGCACCCTACCCCTACCATACTGAATTACTTATCAATCCTACCTTCACATCTCTCTCTCTCTCTCTCTCTCTCTCTCTCTCTCTCTCTCTCTCTCTCTCTCTCTCTCTCCTTCCATCTGGACAGCACCCCAACTCAAGCCCTTCCCACCTCCCACCTGGACTATTGCAATAGTCACTTCATTAGACTCCCTGCCTTTAGCTTCTCCCTTCTCCAATCCATCTTCCACAACATTGTCAAAACAACCTTCCTAAAGCATTAGTGTTACATGTCACTCTCCTGCTCAAAAATTTTCTATGGCTCTCTTTTGCCTCTAGGGTAAAATTCAAATCCCTCAGCTTAGCGATCAAAGCTCTTCACTTTCTGGCTTTTTATACAGTATTTTTAGGTTTTCAAAGCACTTTGTATATTATCTCATTTGAATCTCACAACAACCTGAGGAGGTAGGTACTATTATTATCTCTATTTTACAGAAGAGGAAACTGAGCCTGAGTTAAGTGACTTTCCCAGGGTCACCTAGCTAGTAAATGTCTGAGGCAGGATTTGAACTGTCTTTCTAGTTCCAAATCCAACATTCTATTCCCTGTACAGTAATTTTTTTTAAGACAATTGGGGTTAAGTGAGTTGCCCAGGGTCACACAGCTAGTAAGTGACAAGTGTGTGGTCTGAGGCCGAATTCGAACTTGGGTCCTCCCAAATTTAGGGCCGGTGCTCTATTCACTGCACCACCTACCTGCCCCTTAATTTTTTTTTTAATGTGAAACTCAGATCTTCAGTCCATTTTCCTAGCTTACCCTCCTTTGTGGTCTGCCTTTCTGCCAAACTAGCCCGCTTGCCGTGCCCCCAAATTAGAAAACCCATCACCGGCCTCTGTGCTTAAAATTCACTTCTCTTTTATTCTACTTCTTAGAACTCTTAGCATCCTTCAAGGCTTAGCTCAGGGGCTACCCTCTCCCTGAGGCTTTATCCCATCCTCCAGGTTGTTAGTGACCTCTCTTCTCAAATCACACTTATCTGGGTGTGCCGTGCGGCTTCCAGAAAAACAGAAGCACTGTGAGGACCAGGATGGTTTCACTTCCGTGTCCCCAGTGCCTAGCACAATGCCTCGCACAGAGCACTTATTAATTCAATTAATTAGATAAATGTTTGTTGGATTTAATTGATCCACAGACAGAATATAAAACAGTCCCTTCTATGAAAGAGCTTACATTCTCTTGGATGAAGGCTGCAGCCTGACAGGAGGCATAGGAAAGAATAGGATTAGGCAAGAGCTGCTAGGAAGGAATTTGGAAGCGCTGAATCGGGTGCTGATAGTGTCCCTCTGGATGGAAGAGCTTCCCATCCTATCTCATCCACCTGCCCCACCCAGGGTGGCCTGTTCCTAGACATGAACCAATAGTCCCAACAGGAACTTGGAGCTGGCACTCCCTGCTCCCCAACCCCTCTGCACTGAGCCGTATCCCAGTACCACCCAGATCTCAAACCCACCTCTTCCCTGACAGTTGTTTCTCCCTGATCACCTCGTTTGTCCACTGTCATCCCCATCCCCATACCAAGCAACCATCTCCATTGTCCTTAACTAGCCCTCCCTCTCCTCCCCTCCCATCCCCAGTGGCATATTGATGCCAACTCCCAACACTCACATAGGAGATGGGGACACAGGCCCCGGAGAGCCTGATTCTAAGAAAAACCTAATTTCCTAGGAAGCTGTGGGGTCCAGGGCTCCTGATGCCAGGGCCAGTCTTTCTCTGGCTCCCCCCTCAGAAACACCACTGCTCCCCTTGTCCCTTGCACTATATCCCCCATACTGTCTCATGTCCCACCCTGGAGGAGGGGAGGAAGCATACCTTTGGCTGTACTAAGCTTGCAGGTATAGACGCCACTGTCATCTTCGTGCACAGATGTGAGCAGCAGCTTGGACTTCCTCCCATCAAAGTGCATCTTACACCTGAGTAGGGCAGGCTGCAGCAGCCGGCCCCGACACAGCCAGTCTACCTCCACGTCCGCAGGGCCTGTGACCAGGCACTCAAAGAGCGCCATCTCCCCGGCCCCCACGTTCACGTCCTGTAGGGGGGCCACCACCGCCAGGGACCGACTTTCAGGGTGCACTGGGGGAGCAGAGGCAGGAGAGAGGAGGTAGGGGGATACACAAAGAGCAGAAAGACACACAGAGTGGGAGAGGGGGTGTAGAGAGACGCAGACAGACAGACAGACGAGTAACAGAGAGAAAGAGAGAGAGATGCAATTTGGTCCCTAAAGAAAGGGAAAGTGGGACCAGAACCCAGGCAGGAAGAAGCCACGGGGCCTGGTGCCAGCAGAGCAGGGCAGAAAGGCTCCAGGAAAGGCAGTGGTCCTACTGGGGGCTGACCTAGGCTGGGCCTCAGTGAGGGAAACATGAGAGAGGGGAAAGGAGGAAGGGGAGGAAGGAGGGAAGAGGGCAATGCCAGATCAAGAAGGAGGGTTGGGATTTGGGCAGCGGCGGCACAACAGACAACCACACCAGCTGGGTACAAACCAGACTTTATTAGAGCTTAGGACCAGGCATTACCAAGTGCTCTGTGTCCCCTCCCACACCGCATGCCTGGTGATACCATCCCCTCTCGCCCCCAGGACTGAGGCAGAGCTTGTCCTTGCTGGGCAGAGACAAGGGCAGCTACAAAATGGACCAAATGACCCCCCCCATCCAGCCTGCAGACGAGAGGGGCCTGAGCCTGCATGGCTACAGCCATCAGGTGCCCTGCGGCTCCATCCTCATTCTCACCCTGCACCCTGCCTCACCTACCCTAGGGTCCCAGGAGCCAGAGAGGTATTTGGCTTTTGGTCACTTGGGGAAATGAAAAATTTTTGTGCCATTTGAAAACCACTTCTGGGATGGTCGTCATTCCCACCCTCCCTCCAGAGCCTGAAGTGGGGGGGAGGAGAGGAATATTAGCAGCAACCTTGGTCCCCAACATGCCTCCACATGCCCCTTCCACGCCTAACTGTGCTTTTTCCTAGAATGGTCCTCAATGCCAACCAGCAGGGATTCCCCCCCACCCAGGCTACCCTAATCAGAACCCCTCCCTACCCCACTCTGCCCAGAATGGATATTCTCTGAGTCACCCCACTCCAATGGTACAACAGAGAGAGAGACCAACAAATAGACAGTGAGCCCTGGACAGATAGACAGTGTCCCAAAGCCGCAGCAGCAGCCCATGCGCTTGGTGCTCCCACAACAGGGGGAGGGGGGTTCTGCCCCAACTCAGCCCCACCTCCCCACCCTACACACGGTCCAACTGGGGGCATCGGTGCCCACCCATCCACACGTCCATTTGGGGAGGGAAGGGGGGAGCTCCGCTGAGCCCACGGGCAGACCCGGGGCACCACACGGGGTGGGGAGGCCGGGAGGCCAGGGGTCCGGGCCGGCTCGCCGGTTGGGTCTGTGGGCAGGAGGCAGTGAGACACAGCGAGGTCCAAGTGGTGCCTGAGCCAGAGGCGTGTGGCACGAAAGGCAGCGGGAGGGAGGGCAGGCGGCCCCCTGAGCTCACTCGCCTGTGTACAGACAAAAACCGCAGTCAGCAAGCGGCAGGTTAGTCTGGCACACACACGCGCACGCACACGCACACGCGCACATACACACATGCACACGTGCGTACACACACGCGCACACACACACACACACACACACACACACACACACACACACCTGCGGGTGGGTGGCTAGGGGACTTGGCTGGACAGGAAGAACTCCAAGAAGCTACTTCTAAGCAGCTTTCATGGCTTTCCCATTGTAAGAGGGCATCTTGCCTCCAGGTCCCTGAAGCACGGGCCTCCCAGGGGATGGACTACAGGAAGGCAGTGGCCTGGAAAGCAGCCTCTCTCTCACCAAGTCAGGAGAAAGGCAGACACTCAATGGCCAAGACAGTCCCAACCACTGCCTACAGGTGCTAGAGGCCAAGAAAGAAAAGGTCTGGAGAAAAGCGCTCAACACAGGTTAATATAGAAAAGCATGGCAGAGATGGGGGCAGCAGCCAGGGTGACTCTGGGAATGGGGCTCCAGGCCTGGCTCACTCAGGAAGATGTGGCCATTAGAGCAGGGGGCAAAACACGGGGCAGAAAAACCAAAAGACGCATCTGGTGGAGGCCGGGCAGAAGAGGCCAGGGGCTAGGAAGGAAGTATATTTTACTGGAAATTCCTTTCCCCATGGAAAACACCACTCTAGCTATAGCAAGCCTACCACGGGCATCCCAGGGGATAGAAGGCAGCCAGGGAAACAAGAGGGCCAAGACTCAGATGAGCCAAGAGGAGGTATGGTCCTTAGGTCACTTATTCAGATACTAAAGGGGACCAAGGGGAAAAAGAGAGGAAGGCAAGAGAAGGAACAGTGCGCCATCATCTCCCACTTAGGGGTAAAGTCTCAAGCATCAGACTGAGTGCGGGGCAGACCCACAACTTTGGCCAGCTTGCTACCCATCAACGGTCCTTATATCCCATGTCCTATCATCTATGCCCCAAGACAGGCCATGAACACACCCACATGACTCGAGCCACTTCCACTGACCCTGCCCAGGCACTAAACACTAAGACCCTCATTTCCCTCTTCTCTGCCATCCCTAGGTCCCAGAGCCTCTGGGTTAGGAACAGCAGACGGACAGACTCCTGTGACCCTGAGATACTTCCACCCAAGAGTCACTCCGAACGGGTCCAGTCACCAACCCCCCTGATACAATATACCACAATGCCAATTTCTGCAAAACACTACAATCAGGAGGAACAAATGGGGGTGGGATGGGAGAGGTGGAAGGGAAGAGAAAGGAAAAGGGGGTTGTGGGAATGGAGTAGAAAGGAAAGCTGGTAAATCTGGGTGCAGGGAGAGGAGGAGAAAGAAGACCAGAAGGGTCATGAGGTTGTAGGAGACAGAAGGAAGGGTTCCAGGGAAGAAACTCAGGGAACAGGCCAGCACAGAGTAGGGGGTAGGGGGCAGAATCTGAGGTCTTGACCGAGACACAATATGGTAGAAATAGCATTGGACTGTGAATCAAAAGATCTGACTTCTAGTCTTTGCTCTGTTACTAATTCACTAGGTAACCTTAGCCAAATCACTTCACCTGTTGCCACCACCAAGGAGAGGTTTGAACCAAGTGATGTATGTGGTGATCCCCAGATCTAGCATTCTCTAAGATAACTGCTCTACAGGAATGAGATACTCTAAGTAGAAGGCAACGTGGGGTCATTGTGTTCCCTGGGTACCAGTCTTCCTTCCACTTCTCAGGGACCTAGTGGGCCTGGGGTAAGAGCCATTGGAACCATGAAGAGAAGAGGCATGCAGGAGGTTTACCTCTGACCTCCAGTCTGGCCTCACACTGCCGGGTGCCATATTCATTCACTGCCTTGCAGGTATAGAAGCCAGCATCTCCACGTTCCGCTGCCAGGATACGAAGCCGACACAAGCCGCCTTCTGCCTCCTCGGCAAAGCGTCTTTGGTCCGGGCGTACAGGCTGGTGATTCCGAAGCCTGCCAGTGGGGACAAGGCCCTCAGCTACGGGCTTTGGATTCCCAACCTCCTCCTTTCCCGCAGGGTACCCTCAACCTGAAGGGCTAAGTACAGTATCACCCCCATGCCATGCACCCACAAACATTCACGAAATCCTTGAGGGCTTCATTCTTGTCTTTGTAGCCTCAATGACTAGAACAGTCCTTGGTATGTTGAAAACACTTAATACACACTTGTTTATAGATCCTGGGTCTACGAATGTGCAGAGCCCTATGGCAGGTAGGGGCCCAAGGCAGGCACACACACACACACACACACACACACACACACACACACACACACAATGATGCCATTCCAACTCCCACATGATGAGACCCAGGAGGTCTCCAACCCACTCTGAGTTCTTCTTCCTCTGGACACCTCTTACACTGATCACCAGGAATGCATGGCATTTAATTGTCCTGTTTCCAAGAGTATCTGCCTCACTTCCCTAAAAAGATTGTAAGCTTCTGGAGGGAAGAGTAGGTCTTATATTTCTCTCAGAGTCAGCATGATATCATAGAAATATTCTAGATTGGATTTCAAGAGACTTGGGTACTCAACCATAATTCCAGAAGACTCATGATAAAGCATGTTCCCCACTTACCTCTGGATAGAGAGGTGAGGGACTCAAAATGCAAAAAGGTAGACAGAAATATAAAGACATACATGCACATACACACGCATATATGTATATGGTCACACATACATGTGTTGTGCATATATGTCTATACAGCATGCTTCACATATACATATATGCATATGTATATAGATGTACACATGGAGCTACATGTACATAATAAATGTATTATATTTATACATACAGACATGTGTGTGTATACATATGTATTATATGTATATATAGGTATAGATATGTATTGTTTATATATACCCATATGTATATATACACATGTTACATGTATATATATATCTCTATGCATATGTATTTATATATTATGTCTATGTATCTATATACATTATATTTAGGTGTACATATGTGTATATATACTTTTATTATCTGTCTATCTCTATCAGCATGGTCAATGTGGGGATTTGTTCTGCTTGACTATACATGTTTGTAAGGGTTTTTTTCTTTCTTGTTTTCTCAATGGTGGGAGGGGGTGGGAAGTGGAAGTAGTAGGGAGAGAATGGGGACCTGAAAATAAAATAAAATTGAATTTAAAAAAATAACTTGGGCTCACGCTCCAACTTTGCCACTTAGCAGCTGTGTGACTTTAGGCAAATCACTTAACTTTTCGGAGCCTGTCTCCTTATCTTTAACATCAGGATACTAATATTGACTCTACTGAAATCATAGGGCTGTTGTGAGAATCAAATTAGATAATGGTGGGGGAGGTGGAGGGAGAATGGATTTGGTAGCTTCAGCATAAACTCTTAATGCCAGGCAGTAGTTTCATGCCCTTTGCTGAAGCCTGACTCATTGTGGAAAGGAGAGTTGCACCTCACTGAAGAGGCTTCCGAGATGGCACCACTGATGACTTTAGATACATCTAGCATCCCAGGACTTGGTTAGCCACGTTCAGGGAGACTCGCCACCATCATGTGATAAATTTATTTGGCCACAGCAATTCACAAAATCACCATCTGACTGCAGGAAAAGCTGGAAATGGGCCACAGAGAAAACAGAAATACTTCTACAAACATTTATTAAGCACCTACTGTATGCACAGAACAATGAACAGGGTGATACAAAGTCTAGGTAAGACATAGAGAAATATAAAACACAATTTGCCTCAGTGGACAGAGGACCCTCTTCTCTCCCCATCTCTTCCCCTGGAATGACCTTCTGGAACTTTCAAATATTAAAATGGACTTTTCTTAATCATCTCCTTATTTTGTATTCCCCCACAGTGTCTAGCACAGTGCAGAACAAATAATATTATTTGCCAAATAGTGGTGGATCAGAGGAAGTCTTATGGGTAAAGAGGAAAGGAAGGGAACAAGCATTTGTTAAACACCTACTATGTGCTAGGCAAATCACCTCCTTTGAAAAAGCAACTGATTTCAAGTCAGAGGATCAGGGTTCCAATCCCACACCTGCCAGTTACTACCTTTAGAACTTGGTCAAATCACTAGACGTCTAAACTCAATTTCATCACTAATAAAATGAGGGGGCTAGAGTAGAAGCAGCATGAAAACACTGGATTTGGAGTCAAGAGGACATGATTTCCAATCCTACCACTCTGACATCTACTAGCTGTGTGACCATGGGCAAGTCATTTAACCTTTTTGGGCCTCAGTTTCCTCACCTGTGAAATGAGGACGTTGGACAAGATGGCTGTTAACATCCCTTCTAGCTTTAAGGCTGTATGACTGATTGGCTCTAGGGCACCTCTGATGTGTCACAGACCCTCTGGCAGTCTGGTGGAGCCTATGGAGGACCCCTTCGCAGAATAATGGTTTTAAATGCACAAAATAAAATGCATAGGATTACAAAGATAATGAATTATATTGAAATAGCTATGAAAGAAATTTTTTTGGAGGAAATGACTCGCCCAGGCTCATACAGCTAGTAAGTATCTGAGGCTGGATTTAAACTCAGGTCCTCCTAGCTCCAGGGCTAGAGCTCTATCCACCACAGCACCTAGCTGCCCCAGTATTTCTTTTTTTTTTTTTTATGAAAAACAAGTTCACAGACAAGTCAAGAATCTCTATTCCAGGAAGATGGATACCTGCCACTGAGGAAGGAAGAACTCCAAAAGGGGTCCTGAGAAATACTGCCAAATGAAGAGAGGAAGTGGGGGATTTTTATTCCCACAGCTGGAGGAGAGCCCTATCACGTTCTTGGTGTTTGTGGTGATAGCGCTAGTGGTAGCGGTGGTGGTGGTGGTGGTGGTGGTAATAAGGCCAGCAAGAGGGATTGGGGGTGGGAAGATTTGGCTGGAGCAGTGATTTGGACATGGTCAGCTACTACATGAAACTGGGCAGCTAACCACCCCTCTACCAAATGGGTCACAGAGGAAGCAGAAATATTTCTGTGAACATTTATTAAACACCTGCTGTATGCACAATAGTACTAATTTCGGTAAGACATGGATAAATATAAGATACAATGCTACTCCTTACATTATCCACATTTTTCTCCCAGGGAAAGGCTATATCCAGGCCTGGAAGCCAGAGGCCTTTTGGAAGAGATCAGAATTTCTTGGAATTTTAAAAGTCAGGAATTTCTTATTCTGACCTCCCTCCTCTTGCAGGGTCTGTGATTTATTATCCCAGTTCTAAGGATGATGCAGGAGGGTTGGACAATAGATTATGGGGAAGGTAGCATACAGGGACCCTCTGCAGGCTCACGGCGAGTTACAGAAAGGTCCACCCCCTACCATCTTTAACATCCCCAGGATGACCATGTGATCTCTACTAAGGGTTAAAAGAGTCAATAAGAAGAGTTAATAGAAAACCAGGGCCTCGGGTACTTACCAGGAGACAACAGGTTTGGGCTCCCCCTGCACTCGGATGCTCATGGTCACATCCTGGCCCTCCCTTACTGACTGGTCCATGAGTGAAACCTAAAAGGGGGTACTTGAGGTGATACGAGGTAAGGATGACCAAGGCAACAGCTTCTGGAGCCAAAGGGTGAGGAGGCAAGGTATGGTATGGGCCACATTCTATACCCAGGAGAAGTCAAGGACTGTGGTGGGGAAGGACAGGAGTGAAGGAGAAAGAATATCAGTATCTGAGTAAGGACAACTATATTCTCTGGCTGAGAATAAACATCAGGGAAGGAATAAACCCTTATGGACAGAGATCCAGGGAAGTGGCAGAGGCACGGGGAGGGGGGAGCAGGGAGCTCCTTGTCTCTGGGGCTATGCCAAGAACTCAGGGTGACAGGATGGGCACAGGACATACGAGCAAGGGGCCCCACGGGCATTCACTGGGGAGAGCTCCCAGCTGAACCGGACCACTCTCAGAGATCTAACCTTGAAGATGGGGGGAGCCCTGGAGCTGGTGTCTGGGGTGTTTTGAGTCTGGCTGGGGCTGAGCTTCATGGCAGAAGTTCTGTGCCAGGCCTCTTCTGGTTCTGGGAACTCCTCAGGAGGGCTCAAATACTCTTCATCTGATGTGATGGGGCTGCTGAAAGGGGATGTGGCCCCTCCTGGAAAAGATGGAGAGGGGAGGGGGAAAGAAGGGAGGAGGGTTGGATACATGGAGGGGGGAGGGCAAGGGAGGGAAGAGAGAAGGGAGAAAACACAACAGAACCTATAAGAAGAGATCAGTCCCTGGGTCCAGGGACAAGGGAATCTTAGCTGCCCTGGGTTTAGAATCACAAAAGCCAGGACCACCCATCCAGAAGGAGTAGACACACACACACACACACACACACACACACACACACACACACACACACACCCCTTACAACTAACAAGCCAAGTGCCCAGAGTCACTCTGATCTAGGACAAAAACTTCAGCTCTCTGACCCTCAGCTTCCTTATATTTCAAATGAGAAGAGTTGAAATAGATGGTCTACTTTCCATCTCCAATTCTATAACAAATCTTAGGAATCCAGGAGATCACCATTAGGAAGAGCCAGAATAAGAGATCTAGAAGACCAAGGACTCTCCACACAGGAGCTCAAAGGAAACTGAAAAGCCTGGCCACTGCCTAAACAGGCTCCTCAGTGAAGGGGCCGGATAGAAAGCTAGAGGCTGGGAACTAGAGGAAGACAGAGAGGGGCCAAAATGTCAGATCCCAGGCTCACAAGACTGGTCTCCAGGGGCCCAGAGTGGTAATAAACACTAGAATCAGAGGACTCTTTCATTTCTCCTGATCCTCCCTCCCCTAAGACCCTCTTTGGATGGGGCTGCTAAAGGGAAGAACAGGGTTCCAGACCTGCCAAGAGGTCTGTCCACTCTAGACATCCCCCTCCCAATTCAGAATGCCCCGCTGAGGCTACTGTGAGCCTATGCTCCGCCCCCCACTCAGCTTCCTACCCTAGAGACACCTGCTAGGGAAACAGACCCCAATGCAGGGAGGGGGCTAGGAAGTGATCTTCCAAGTTAGTGGATGGAGGGACGGAGGTCAGCCTAGGGAAGGTGGGGGAAAACGAAAGCCTTCCCAAGGAGGGGGTGTCCCTATAGGGGGCCCAAGCCCAGAGGCCCTCCCCAGTGGCTGGCCTAGGGCCCAGGCTGGCCCTGCTTGGCTCTGCTCCGACTGCCAAATAGAGACAGGAATCAGTCGCTACCAGCTCCCTCTAGCCCCTCCTCTTTACCTCCCTCCCCACCCCCCCCAAGTCCCTCCTGGCCCTGCCTTCTAGTCACCGGGCCCTGCTGCACCCCAACTCACCCAGGGAGCACATAGACTCCTGCCTGCGTTCTGCTGCCTCTAGCCTCAGCTTTTGCCCCCTCGTGCCTGGTCCAGAGTGGTCTGCAAGGAGGCAAGCTGCCCACCCCGTCCCTGCTCCCCTGGGAGGAGAGAGCCCAACCCAGCCTAGCCTAGCCTGGGCCCCACTGAGATTCTGTCCAGAGAGCCAGCTCTGTGGGGGGAGGGGGAGGGGGAAGAGGGAAGGGGAAGGGGGGGCCAGGGCAGCGTCTGGGCTGCAAGAAGGCAGCTGGCTAGGGAAGGTGACGGCAGCAGTGGTGGTGCCTGCTGAAACCATATGCAGCCAGAGCCCTGGAGAGAGGAGAAAGGGGGAGGGGAGGGGAGGGACTGCCGGATTTAGCCATCCCTCTCATTCCCCAGCAGCTGCGTCTGTTCTTTCTCTCCTTGCAGGCTCAAGACCCTGACACATACGGGTACCTCCCCTCGAGGTAGAGTGGCCCTGGCTCTGCAGTAAGAAAGGTCTTGGGCTGGGGTCTTCCTCCCACCACACTCTCCACGTCTAGCACCCATCTCTTCAGGTGCGTGTCTAAATCTGGCACCACCCAACTGCCCGAAGGTTAGGGCACACCACAAACACTCACAACAAACACCAAACACTCCTCTAGCCCAGGCCATATTGTGGCAAACCCCCACAACACGCAAACCCCCACAACACGCCAACCCACCTTACACTGTTAGAAGATGATGGAAAGACTAATAGTTTTAGAACCCAACGGCCTAACTTACGGAAGCTGAGACAAGTCATTTAACCCCTGGGTCTCAGTTTCCTCATCTGTAAAATAAATGGACTGGACTAGACTGGTCCAACCCAAAGTCTCTTTCAGCTCTAAATCCTACAATTCTATGTCCTAGAACCCCACACTCTTTCCCCTCAAAAACCCATTGTCCTGTCCCACCTACCTCCAAAATTCAGAGAATAAGTTACAAAATCTACAAGAAAAGAAGCTCAAACCAAGCCTTTATATACACCTAATCTTCCCCTAAAGCCCCTTGGTTTATCTAGTATACAAGACTGGAATAGATCATGGCCCTAGACCCCTAGGCCTTGTTATACTCCACCCTAGATGGAAAGGCAGGAGTAACAAGGGAGACAACATTGGGTTTTATAGTTATCTCTGTCTTAACTAAACTTCGGATCTCCCTTAGCACCATATTATACACAAAATGGGTAGTGGAACTTGAAGGTCCAAGGATTATTGCTCTTACTCCCTTCACCAGACCATGGCCCATTTGGCCAGCCCAAGAGCCATCCCCAGCTATGCTGGGCCTGTAGCCAGCTCCCTCATGGCCCTCTGCCAGATGTACCTGCTGGCAGCCTGCTCCACCCAACCCATCCCAGCCAGGGCCTGGAGTTAGAGAAGACTCATTCCTTGTACCTTGTTTACATGTCCACCAGGGGTAGGTATAAAAGGAGAGAGGGTAGAACTCTGCGGTCTCCTCCCCATCTGAATGATCCTCCAGAGGTACATGTACTGAATGGGCCCTGGGTTCTTCCAGCTATAATGGCAGTGATATAGGAAGGAGAGAAGCCAGGGACAGTAATAGCAGCATGACACACTGGCTAGAGAGTTGGAGGAACACGTTTGCATCTCAATGGAAGGGCATGGAGCGGAAGAAGGAAGCAAGCATTTATTAAGCACCTACTATGTGTCAGCTACTATGAGCAGCTAGGTGGTGGAGTCAGGAAGACTCATCTTCCTGAGTTCAAATCTGGCCTCAGACATTTACTAGCTGTGTGACCCCGGGCAAGTCACTTAACACTGTTTATCTCAGTTTCCTCATCTGTAAAATGAGCTGGAGAAGAAAATGGCAAACTGCTCCAGTATCTTTGCTAAGAAAACCCCAAAGGGGTCACCAAGAGTTGGACATGACTGAACAATTCAGTCAAAGGGCCGCACTTGAGGACCTAGAGGGCCACATGTGGCCTCGAGGTTGCAGGTTCCCTATCCCTGGGCTAGTCCAACCCCCCCATTTTACGGATAAGGAAATTGAGGCCCATGCAGGTGTAGCTACTTGCACAAGGTCAAACAGGTAAGTAAATAGTTGAAGAGCTTAGTCTAAAGCCCACCTCCCACCCAGATCTTCTGAATATACACCCAGAGCTCTATTCCACTGCACCAGCTGCTCCCTAAAAAGACGAAATAGTCTCCCTTAGGGAGGTGCCCCTGTCCCCAACACCCACTGAAACTGTGAAACATGGAAGGAGGAACCAGCCAGTCCTGCCCAAGCATCTCTCCGCTCAAGGGAGCATACTCAGCACCCCCTGGTAGTGACTTGGAACACTACATGCCGGGGTCATTTCTCACTCTCCAGCTTCCTGATCCCCATTCCCAAGAGACATTCTAACCAAATGACTCAGGCAGCTCTGGCCTCTCCCCCCTCCCCACCCACCTCGTGGCTTCCAAGCCCTTGCCAGGTTAGCCTCCTCCTGAGTTCTGAGGGCTAAACAAGGCACTGTTCTCTACGTCTGGAATGTCACCCCCATCCCCCATCTTCACCTGCTGAAATCCTACCCACCCTTTCAAGGCCCAGTTCAGATTCCACCTCCTCCAAGAAGCCTTCCCGGTCCCTCCCATTTAGAAGTGGTTTTTCCATAACTCAAACCCGGCACAGCATTTTGTACTTATATTACTATAGTCCATTGCCTAACCAGCCCCTGCCACTCTCATTAGTGGGGTATGGTGGAGAGAGCTCTAGATCTGGAATCTGAGTCAGTCCCGAGAACAAATCTTGTCTGTGCTACTTAATCCCATTTGACTTTGGTCAAGTCATTTCTCCAGGCCTCAGTTTCCTTATCTGTAAAACAAAACAGTCAGACTAGCTGACCCCTGTGTTCCCTTCAGCTTCAAATACCTGGACCCTAGAAATACTGCTTTCTCTCTACTTATGCATCCTTTCCCTTCTACTAGATCACATTCTAATTATCTTAGCAGCTGACTCAGTGTTTTGCATAGAGTCAAAACTTAATAGATAATGAAGGAAGGAAAGAAGGAATGAAGAGCATATCCCCAACCACCACCACCAGGAAGCAGCCTTTACGACAGATACCCAGAGCCAACCTAAAATGGGTGGAGGAGATAAAGCGCCCCTCCCCACCCCAACACCAACCAATTTCAGTTTCTCCCCTTCTTACAGACAGAACTTAGGACCTAGGGCTCATTTTACAGATGAGGAAACTTGATCACAAAGCTGAATGGCTTGCCCAAGATCAGACCCATACTAGGTAGCTGAGTCTAGAACCTTTGCCCCCAGTCAAGTACACTGTCCCATCCAACCCTTCTCTCACTCTTTCAAGTGGGGAGGAGAGAGAGGGAGCTGGTGTTTCTGAGTCTCCCCTTCTCTTCTCTAAGGAAGGTCCTATCTTTCTTCCTGTCCTCCATCTCACCAGACCCTTTAGGAGGAAAATGCAAAGGCCACTGTAGATGCTAATGTTGGTTCAACAAAGAACTCCCATGAGATTCATTTCCATCTCAGAAAAAAAAATCCAGACTATCGTGTCTCTGCTAGTATCTTCCCACTTCACCCAGAAAAGTTATCTTAGCTCATTCTCTGACACAAGACAGTAGCCAGATCTTCTCTCCTCTGATAACTGTGTCACCAAGGAGATGGTTAAAGCCCCAACAAAGCTGACATTGGAACCACACACACACACACACACACACACACACACACACACACACACACACACAAGGCTTCTCTGTAGCACTTGTTAAGGGAATCTTCACTGGCTCTGTTGCCAAAATTGTCTTCTAGGCCTGTCACTCTGATCACACCACC